GGTCAGAGTCCAGATAGGTACTCCAAAAGGAGCGGCAGTCTTTTACACAACCACGCCAGCGGAAGCTGATCGCGATGTGATCAATCTGAGTCCAGGCTTGGGATGCAGAGGGAGGACGCCAGGTGGCACATCGGCGATGACTGTGCCGAAAGTTAGTGCTAGCCAGAAACAGGTTGTGGTCTGTGCACAGTTGCAGTAGACGGTCCCCGTTATCTGACCTGCGACCAACGAGTCCCCATCGGCCACCTAAACGACTCTCTTCTGTGCCTAGACGCCCGACCTGAGCATTCAAGTCTCCAGCTAGTACTACAATATCTGTCGAACGCACTTTCTGGAGAAGAACGGATAACTGGTGGTAAAACTCATCCTTGATTGCATCCGGGCTGCAATCTGTCGGGGCATAGGCGGATATGACGAAAAGACATCGTTTCTCACGCCGATTTCTTCTCACTTTGATGGAACTTTCTAATCTAACAGCACATAGCCGACTGTTAATGGGGATCCAATCAACTAGTGCTGCCTCAGCTCTAGCGCTTAGTGCGACACCAACGCCAGCAAGACCAGACGAAGATGCCACAGGGTCCCCGGATAAGCGCACGTGAAACAAGCTTTTCGAAGCGACAGATGGAGATCGAATTTGTAGTACTTCACCAGAGTCTTGAATACGGGTCTCGGATAGACAACAAACATCAATATTGAGACTTTCCAAAGACATAGCCAGCCCTATCTGTTGTCCGACCTGCACTAGCGTGCGAACGTTGAAGGCAGCCAGTTTGAATGGTGCACGTGGTTTCAGAAAAACTGCTTCAGTTCTCGTAGTCGGTGGTAACATACAATATTCAACCGGACAGTGACTCGAGAACGTTTAGATACAGTCGAATTTCCACCAAAGACGAGCCGCTGTATAAGTATAAAAGAGAGAGAACAATGTGGAAAATAATAATAATAATAATAATAATAATAATAATAATAATAGTGACAATAATGGTACTAATAATAATAATAATAATAATAATAATAATAATAATAATAATAATAATGACAATAATGGTAATAATTATTGGAATCGATTGATTATATATCGGAGCGAGAAAATTCGTTGCCATAGTCATAGGGTTCATCGTTTGTGTGTGGGCTGTGATACTGCCCGGGTGCCCAAACCGAAGCAGGTGGTTGTCTTAGGGGGCCACACCCCGAGCCTTTGACCAAATGGTCTAACCCACAAGGCAGTGGAGCATCGTAAGGAGATGCAATCCCATGGTAGCCGGTGACCAACGATTGGTTCATACGCCATTTGTTCCCGCAGGATACTGGAGCCCATGTGCACCATTGGTTTGTGATCCGGTTAAAGCGCCGGACGTTCGCTTTTCGTCCTCTCATTTTCGTAAACAACACCCCCGCCGCGAGAAGGCAATGAGTAGGACTTCCCTGGCAGAGGCTGTATACGCGCGGCCGTGTGAGAGCATTTCGAGAGGGAGAGCGGACTCTCCCCACTCTCGGCCGTACCAGGGCGTTCGGGGGCATAAGTGCTGGTGGTGGCGTGAGTGATGAGATCAATGCACGTATAGTGAAAGCCAGAGCGGCTTATGCCAATCTGGGCCACCTTTGGCGCCTTCGTGATGTTAGTCTGGCTGTAAAACGTCGGATCTACAACGCGTTGATGAGAGCAGTTTTGCTCTATGCTTGTGAAACCTGGCCTCTCCGAGTTGAGGACGTTAGACGACTCTCTGTGTTCGTTCATCGCTGTCTCCGAAGGATTGCTGACATCCAGTGGCAACACCATGTTAGTAATACGGAGGTTCGGCATCGTGTGTTCGGGTGCAGAGACGATAATTCAACTGGTGTCACCATCTTGAAACACCGACTTCGGTGGCTTGGACATGTTCTACGAATGTCGTCCCAGAAAATTCCACGTCGTGCATTATTTGCCGACTCTGGGACTGGTTGGAAAAATCGGAGAGGTGGTCAGTGCATGACATGGTGTCGTGGCATGAAAAAATGCTGCAAAGGACTGACATGTGTTGGTCCTTCACGACTCCCTGGTTGGGGTCTGAGAGATGGTGCAACACAGTGGCTAGAGACGTTATCAGATATGGCTCAGAATAAAAGCCAGTGGCGATCCTGCTGTAACCTTCTTTTACTTTCTTCATAAAAAATGGTCGTGTCTCCCTTAACTGAAAGATTTCTTCTGATTGTACCTTTTCGTTTCCCCATTATTATTATTGCGCTACCTTACCTTATTCTGTTCGTTATTGTCCTTTCTACGCTCCTCACCTTTTTTTCCTTCTGCTCTTCAAATTCCCATTGTTTTGTGTGGCGCATTTATATTTGGTGCCCTCTTGTACCAATATCTATGTGTTCAAATAAATAAATATTCTTATTACCCAGTATTCTTGTACGCCAATTCACTCGACAAGTCCCCAAATCAGAACACAGTTGAACAGGAAAGAGATCATATTCCAAATAATAAGGTTAGATGAAAGTAAGAAGCACTATAGGAGAAACGTTAGTATATTGATAGTTTTCTTATATGAGAAGATTCTAAAGTATTCTTCAAGTATCGACTAGCGTTGATTGGATAAGAATTAGTTAATCAACGTGCACCAATGCAATTGTGCATGAAACATGCATATTTTAATCCAATCTATATCTTGTTAACATGTTTTTTACACTTCAAACTAAATAACTAGCTTTAAAGTAAATTACGCATTCTGTAGTTTGTATATGTTTCAAAAATAATTATACTTTGATAACTCAATAATCAGATTAACAGGTTAACTGATGTTCTGCACAGGAAATTGTTTGATTAAGGTTATCTACACTCTTGTCAGTCTTTATTCACTCTGTTGTATCCAGTACTTACATCCATTTCTTCCGTTTATGTAGTGAATGAGTGTTGTATATTCGAGTGTAATTATCATCTAAGAAATCTCATTCTCATCGTTTACTTTTATTATGGAAGTATTTTTCATGTAGTTGCGCTACACTGAATACAACAGATAAGTGTATGGATAACTCCAGCCTCTTGAATGAAAATTGCACGTTGATATCCAGCTTTCATTCCATTCAATAAATGAGAGAAAGGAAGTGATCAGAGGGGTTGTATACAACATTGAGATGTTGTAGGTAACCTTATCCAAACTGTGCGACAGTGAACATGTGTTTTAACAGTAAAATAATGACTGAACTAGATTACATAGTCAGTAAATACATGCAGAGCAAGTGTAATCATACTATTCTGTATTCTATTGAGGTCAAGCTTGATCATATATTTCTTCATATATATATTTATGACCAACGTTCATCTTACTTCACTAAGCATGTACTAACTTGTTACAACGTTATGTTCTATAGACACTAGTTTTGTTTATAAAATTATTCCACAAATATCAGATTAGTGTATTCTTTAATGATTCTTGTTTAGGATTAAATATCTTTGAAAGCTTTATTATCTTGATTCTTATTTTCATTCTGATTGTTAAACATTCATTCTCAACTGATGGGATTATTATTATTCAGTTGTAAGGATTTGAATCTTTCCATTATTGTTGTTGAAGTCTGGAATTGATCAGTGTCTTTTGGCATATGTACGTCATATATAGATTGTCTTGGTATTGTCATCAATCACAGGCAATCTTTTAAGAAGAGATGAACTCAGTAGCTAAATGAATGACGACTTGGTATTTAAATCGAAAGATACTGGTTCTAGGTCCCAGAGCGCGAGCATCAACACCGGGGTTCAGGTACATTCAGCTAGTGACGAGTCCAAAATAAAATGAAACGCATGTCTTTGATTCCATTGCTAATCACTATCCATCTCTGCTTAGAAACATTTGTTATCTATAGATTTGACGTTGATATACTGGATAAGTATGAATGTTTTGATGTGAGTGCTTGAACTAATAGATACCGAATTCGAACCCAAGTTTAGACAGTTGGGTAAGATCAATGGCATCCCTCTCATAAATGCTGTTCTTTCGAAATCCTGTACGCAAATACATGGTGAATCAATTACATTAAATCTTGCATAAAGAAAGGACAATTATCATAGCAGAATATTGGTAACGTATAGAAAGTATGCATACTTATTTCATTTTGATAGTTAATACTATGGCTTTAGGTTGTTAGTAGCTGAGGAGAACCAACAAAGTAAATGAATTCACGTTATCCTGTTATGATATTTGTTCTTTCTTTATTCAAGTTGATAGATGAGAAAAAATACATTAAATCTGTTTCTCTTGGTACTTCGACATCTAAGCAAAAGAACACAATACTGTAATATTCTTTCTTATTGCTTCAATAATGAGGTCGAACGAGGTAATCAAACATTGTGAATCCACTTCAATAGAATAATTTACTCATCATTTATAGTTTTCATTCCATTGGAGTTTAAACAAAATCTTTAGTTAAATGTCATTGATAAACAAAATCGAAGTCATTTACTCTGATAACATATCCGACTAGACATAATGACCACAAAGCATTCGAAATTCCAAATACTGAATGTGCAGGTTCAAACCCCACTTCACGCACTTCGACTCATACAATCGTATAGTATACTAATGCAAATAATCTTCACATAGAGTGAACTATCATACTCATTGTCTTCTCGCGGCGAGGGTGTTGTTTACTAAATTGAGAGAACGAAAAGCGAATGTCCGGCGCTTTAACTGGGTTGGTAGACACGGAGAGTCTACCTAGGGGAGTCGGAAAACCTTCATTCCAAACCAGTGGTGCACATAGGCTCCAGTATTCTGAAGGAACAAATGGCATATAAACCAATCGTTGGTCACTGATTACCATAGGACTGCATCTCCTAAAGTCGCTTCACTACCTTGTGGACTCGACCTTTAGGTTGAAAGCTTCGTGTGTGTGGTCCCCTAAGAAAATCACCTGTTTCGATTTGGGCACCCGGACAGTACCTTAGACCTTACACAAATCGAATGATTTACAAAGTTAAATTATTATATCATATCCCTTTTTTTTCTTCTGTTTAATAGATCAAAGTGAATAATTTAAAACGTCCTGCTATTACTGCTGGAATTTTCAATGATTTCAATAATCTTAATATTGATTCATCCAAAGTATCTATTGGTCCAAATCCTCCAAAAATTTTCAAAATTATTGAATTAACCCCTGAATCAACTAATGAATCAAATGTATTGCCAAAATTAACTGAAATTAATCATTCAAATAATGATATACATCAAACAAATTTCATTTATGATATATACAAGATGATATCACCATCTTCCTTATCATCATCATCATCGGATCCAAAATGTTTATCATTGGAACAAACAATATGGTGTACAAATGATCAATTGATTAGAAATACTGATAATTATATACATGATGAATATAGTTGGGAATTAAATGAAGATTGTAATGATTATACTAATGTTGATGATGATGAAGATGATTCAAATAGTGAATCAAATTGGCGTAATGATTATCCTGATGAACAAGACAGTAGTAGTAGTTCATCTAATTCAAATTCACTCTATTCTTCATCGAATAATAGTTGCAATAATGAAGATTCAGATTATTATTATTAACTTTTTTTTTCTTGCTGTATACATTTTGTTTTTTCTAAAAAGACATTTGTATAAAGTTGTCTACTTCTTTTGTGGTATGCGCTACTTATATACACATAAGTAGTATATAACGATAGTCAGGAATAGATTGGATTTCGAATAAGAAAGAACGGGAACGGAAAGCAATTGGCATGAAAATGCAGGAGCAATAAAACCTGAGATGATGGATTGATATATTGTAAAATAAACAATCATGTTTGAGACAATGGAGTGATATTTTGTAAATTAACTATTTACTGTATTGTTTTCAGATTTAAGTGAGATATTCTGTAATTTCGTGTTCAAATACATTCGATTGTCTCCACTTATTTTCTTGTTCTCTACATTTGGTGTTGATTTCAACCGGGTGCTGTCGACGTGCGGCTGCTGGGCGGACATCGGATGTAGGTAGCTCAACAGGTTGGTGGAGCAGTCAGTCAGCTACAACGTAGGACCAAGCACATCTATGCTTCGGTCCTGGTTGCCATACCTCATTAGCATAACAAGATGAACACCGGATTCATGGGAGTGGTTAGGTCAAAGGTGGTAATATATAGGAGAAAGATTGCATATAAGGATACAGTATAGGAAGAAAGAATTAGTAGAAAGAAAGATATGAAGTGATTTTAATCTCTTAGTTTAAGGGAAGACAGGGAGTGTATGCACCTACGCCATTGTGATCGATTCTGAGCCATGTCACCAAGAGTCTCCAACGATCGGTTACGAAAGTCACGCAGACCCCAACCAAGTAGTCTGCATCTACCAACATGGCTCAGGCTAGAGGTTAGTGTCTTCAAGCACTGATGCCACGTTTTGGTTTGGCCGCTCCTAATTCTCTTCCAACCATCTCTAGCATCCGTTAGCATCGCACAACGTGGTAATCGGTGTTCAGGCATACATAACACGTGGCCCGGGTATTAAGCGTCCCAGGTGCCAGGTAGATATCGGATGTTGGTGACCAGGCAGATCGACGGAGCTATGGACGTCAGCGTGCCACAGACTCGACATTTTTGCGGAGAGCTTGGCGCAAACTGCAAAAAAAGAGGAAAGTGACATGGCGAGCAGAACCACCACAAGAATGACTGCTTTAAAAGGAGAACGGGTGTAGTGCACTACTTATATACACGTAAGTAGTATATAACGATAGTCAGGAACAAAATGTATTTCAATAGAAGATGGAGAAGGAAAGATCGGGAACGGAAAGCATTAGGTATCAAAATACAGGAACAATGAAATCTGAGACGATGGACTGGTATTTGCAAAAGAAACAGTCAAGTTTGAGACAATCGATTGATATTTTTTAAATGAAGTATTTACTATACTGTTTTCAGATTTTATTGAGATATTCTGTAATTTCGTGTTCAAATACATTTGATTGTCCCTACTCGTTTTCTTGTTCACTACTTCTACAATCTAGTTTTCTTCAATTATAATTACTATTGTATTTTGTGTGACATTGGCATACTGCCTAGATGTGTAGGTCAGAGCAGGTAGTTTTGTTATAGAATCACTTTCTGAACGTTTTATACCTGCAGGTCTAATCCACGTAATCGTGAAGTGACTTTAGGAGATGAAATCTTGTGGTAATCAATGACAAAAATAAGTTCGTACCCGATCATATGTATGTCTGATATATTGCTTGTGTATTTTGAGACCACCGAGTAAACGATACCGAGCTTGGGCATCGGATACTATATAAAGATTGGGAATCGGTTGATAAGGTAGTGGAATCATTAACTGAAGTGGTTGATACATGTGTTATGTATGTCCAGTCACCGCCCATCTCGACGGGTGATGTCCGGTGTAGGAATAAGTTGGCAAAATGTTAGGAATAGCGAATACATGGCACCAGCCCATAAAGTCACTAGTAGTTGAACTGAAACGTGTTAACAGGCTATATACTACCTGGTTGAGGTCTGCATGATTATCGTAACTAGTGGTGAAATTGCTCAGAATCATCGCCAACCGCACAGGTGCATTCACTCTTTGTCTTCCTTCGAATCATGAGTTCTGAAATCTAATGCCTTTTTATACCTAATCTTTTCTACTGATATTGTTACTATACCTGCTATTCTTGAATTTGTTTCTTAGAATTTTTTTATCTCGCTGTGCTAATGTCGTTTGGCAACTTAAAGTGAGGCACGTATGTGTCACGTTCTACGTTGTGTATAGCTAAATAATACCCATAAAGACCATGTGTAACCGAGCTTGACCAGTGTCTTGGACCTTGCAGTCACTTCTGGGTCATCAAGGCCACACCTATTCAACATTTCTTTCCAGGTACTTCAGGAAGAAATATCACTTAACTTAAATCATTGTTTTGAGTAGTTCATGTGTATGTTACGTGTTCTTATCCGAATCACAATACTGATTGTATAGAAGTAGGTTTGAAAACTGTTACAAGTTAGCAGATGAAGATATCATCAATTCACGATGTCATTGTTTACTGATCTAAACCTTATCGATGGTTACAAAATTCTGGTTAACATACACTTGTTAATGATTTGTGGTTTAGAATATTGAGTGATATGTCCTGATACATTTGCTTTCCTAATTTCTCATTCTTCGATGTAAATTGTTCTTTTTTGGACTGTACTTCACATGCGTAGATTTCTGCAACCTTAGTGCATTTTAATAGTTGAATTCATGAGTCAATTGAAGCTAGACCACCATGGAAAACCTAGAAGCACTGGACGGCCGTTTCATTTTAGTATGAGACTCCTCAGAGGAGCACATCCACAGTTCCGCCTCGAGAGACTCGAACCCAGGACCTATTGGTTAAGCGCGCGAACGCTTAACCTGTAGACCACTGAACCGGCATCCAACGGTGTTAAAGTCTAACTTCGACCAATCCACGAAATTGAGCCACCGTCCACCATTGTCATCAGTGAGTTACTATCTCACAACAGACCGGGTTGAACTCCACTTGTCACGGCTTCTCCGTAGAACTTAGTGATATGAAAAAAAAACAATTTCCCCATAAAAATATTATTCTATGGAAGTGTCATTTTACAATGAAAAAAAAATAGTTATCATATTGTGGAATACTTTTATAAGACCAAATAATTGTATTTGAGTCTGTGCAACCGTTTAACTGATTAAATAGCCAATTTAACTTGAGGCATTTCAGCAATGATTGCACGAAGTGCCGATAAACCATAAAATGATACACAAAGTCTACCAATTTCATTTAAACTCTCTGTTTCACCATCGACAGTTTTAGCAGCTGTAACTAGAAATTAGTAAAAAATATAGATAAAGAAAGTAAAGGGAAGAAATTACGTTTATAAATGGTATTTATTACAGACTGAACTTGGTTAGGGTACCATTAAAAACTAGGGAATACTGGCGAGTTACTCTTTTCTGGTACTGAACAATGTGTATCTAGAATACTTCAGCAGTGAGATATTTTCAACTTAACACGAGATAGAACCTTAACCTTCAGTAAGTATCCACCGTTCTCCGAGTTCAAGCTTCATTCATTTTAGAGTTATAGCTGAATCATCATTAGCCTCTCACTGTCTCGCTTTGATATGTTTGTCCACTAAGCCGATATTTCACAACTTGAATACTTTTGATGACACTAATTCTATACTCATACTCCCTGACTCATTAACGAGAGTGGAAAGTCCAGTTTCATAATTCACATGTGCGTACTTTGTTTAGTGAAAACGCCACTCAATATTGATAGGCATGAAAGAGAGACAAGTATATAGACACATACATACTATCATACACTCACGCTTAATGTCATACAGAAGGATTAATAATGTACGTGTGTAACACTTAGTAGCTACAATTTGCGTTAAGGAATCGCACATACTCAACCGTTAAACACCACAAATAACATACTAATACTACAATGTAATTATTTATTTCAATACATAAAGATTGGCACATAAATCGCTCGATGTATATGAGGGCTGGGGTACTGTTCAAGTTCCCAAACCGAAGAAAGTGGTTTTCTTAACGGGACCACACCCTGAACCTTTGACCTTTAAGTCTAATTCATAAGGCAGCGGAGCAAAGTCACGAGATGCAGTCCCATGGTAGCCAGTAACCAACAATAGGTTCATCTGCCATTTGTTCCTACAGGATTCTGGAGTTCATGTGCACCATTAGTATGGTATGAGGGTTCTTTAACTCACCTAACATGGACTCTCCGTGTCCACCAACTCGGTTTAAGTCATTGCTGGACATTCGCTTTTCGTCGTGTCAGTTTCGTAAATAACACTCGTGGTGCGAGAATGTAGTGAGTAGGACTTCGTTGGTAGTGGTTGTATACACATATCAATTTGAGAGCATTTGTAGATGGAGATCTGACTCTTCTCGGTCGTACCAAGGCTCTTGGGGGCCTACGGGTGTCAAATCATCAATGATCATGCAATAATATTACTTGAAGTTACCCTATTTTACAGACGGACATCAGCTATAGATCTAGTAAAAAGCAAACAGAATTGACTAGTTATTTTGTCCTACGTCATTCATCATTATTGAACATTACTTGCTCATCATATACAAAAGAATCATAATATTGAAAACTTTTCTTACTTGGAATAAATACATGATCTATATTACAATTATCTCGTATTATTTGTCTAATATTAATCATAGCATAACCAATTTCTTCACATTCAGCTGATTGTGTTGTTGATGTAGATGGTTCACTAACAATAATAAATATTAAATTACCATTGTTTGGATCTTCTGGTAATAAATAACTTGCTAAATATTGTCTACGTTCATAATTCTTTGTAAAATCAACTGGAAATGCTATAATGTAAAGAAAAGAAAAAAAAGAAGAAAATGATGAGATTTTCAGTTAGTCAGCTTATATGGTAAGGTTGTGAACCCCGACCCCTCCCCCACCGCCTACTGTCGGTAGATAAATACAAAAATTTTAATTAACTCAGAGATAGTCTTTTGTCTTCACATTGATCTTAGCAAAAATCAAGGCCTGGAAACTATCTTATCAATGGTGGTCTAGCTTCAACTGACTCATGATTTTAATCTGTGAAATTTCTAAAATCTCCACAAAACCCATTCTGATAATAATCAGCTGATCACTAGTGACTGACTTCAGGAAAAACTCCCGAAGTTCTAGTGAGAAGCTGTTACCAGTGGAGTTCAACCAGGTTTGTTGTGAGATAGGAACTCACTGAAGACAATGGTGTACGGTGGCGCATCTTCGTGGATTGGTTAAACTTAGACATTAACACCATTGGATGCCGGCTCAGCGGTCTAGTGGTTAAGTGCTCGAGCGCGAAGCCGGTAGGTCCTGGGTTCGAGCCCCGCGTGGTGCGGGGTCGTGGATGTGTACTGCTGAGGAGTCCCATACTGAGACGAAACGGCCGTCCAGTGCTTCCAGGTTTTCAATGGTGGTCTAGCTTCAACTGACTCATGATTTCAATCTGTGAAATTATCACACTTAGCCAAGTACTAACAATATACAACTTAAGATAATATGTATTGTTTCGAGATGTACACATTAATTGTGTAGCACGCTAATATTCTTATTCTTATTTAGTTGACATTTCATTCAGAGTTTCAGTTGTGTAGTATTAGGATTATCAGTATTCAATAAAAGTGAAATATCCATCAGCAACAGCCTATTGTAGGAGAGAACAAATCAGATTCCAACTGAAGAGGAAATTAGGAAATGATAATGGAAGTGGATAAGATATACAATACGGGAATCATCAAACTGCATCATGAAGCAAACACTAACTTGAAATATTGGAGGGAAGCTGAAAAGAGGAAGGTCGAAGAACACATTACATCGTGAAAAAGAAGTAGATATGAAAAGGATGAATAACAACTGTAAAAGAATTGCCCAGGACAGGGTTGGATGAAGAGCTCCGGTGGGCGGCCTGTTCTCCTCCACGAAGAGTAACAGGCATAAGTAAGTAATCTAAACGTTTTAATCATTCTTTCGTTCATTTAATATGTCAATGTTGAATATAGAAGTGTGGTTTTCACCAAGGACTTTTACTTAAACTAAATCTATCTACATATGTCTTCTGTGAACACTACTTTAATGTATACCATATTGACGGATGTGAAAATCGAATAAAGTGGACATTAGAGCCTGAAATAAAGACCTAAATAAACAAAACTGAAAATGATCAACTAATACATACATTCAGATTTAGATACACTATGAATTTATAGATTCTTATCATATATCGTCGTATATGCTACACATATAACTGGTGACTGGACAGAATTCAATTTAAAATGGTTTAGATGCAAGTAATTTCAGCTGACAAACTGCACGTCTTGGATTACACTGTTAGTCATATTTCATATGTTCTTTATCAAATGACCAAATAAAAGCTCAACAAAAGATGTTTATATTTCAGAACAATCTACTGAACTGATCAAGATTACTCGTCCTCTACGAAACATTTTACACAGTCGAAATCACGAGTTGATGTAAGATAAAACATCATTAAAAACTTGGAAGCACCAGACTGCCGTTTCTTCCCAGTATACAACTCTTCAGTAGTACAGGACTCGGACCCAGAACCTTCGGTCTCGTTCGCGAACGCTTAATATCTAGAACACTGAACCAATGTGCAACGATTTGAATGTCTAAATCTAATTCATCCATGAACTTGAGCAACCCATCATTTATGACCTGTGATGGATAACTGTCTCACATGCGACACGGCTTGGATTCGACTGGTCATGATTTCTCACTAAAACTTCAAAAGTTACATCATGAAGCTAGTCACCAGTGAGTGTTCACGTACGAGATCGAAGGTCCCAGGCTTAGAGTTCTTGATGCAGGACCGTGGATCCATACAGCTGAAGAGTGGCGTACTAGGACGAAACATTCGTTCAGTGATCTAGCTTAGATCAATTCATGATTTTAACTATGAAAACACAATATATCTCTACAAATTTTGAATAGTTTACAAAGGTTATTCAACTTACTTTTACTATAATAGAAATTTGCTTTTAATATATTTTTATTATTATCTATCCATTCAATTAATGGATAAGAACCAGTTTCAAATGGTTCTTTATAACCAAGAAATGAATATTCAATAAATAATTGATTTGGTAATGATTGATTAATTTTAGATAGTTTAGATAAATTTGTTAATTGTAATCCATGTAATTCAATTTTCACATGATTATTATCATTATCAGTAGAGATAGATTGAACAGTTGGTGATAGTTTTGAATTTGAGACATTGTTATTATTAATAGTTTTCTGTGAAGAAACATCCAAATTGATTAGCTTCTTTTCATCTTGTGATTCAGTTATTTTTGTTCTAGGATGTGGAGTTGGAACTAATTTCAACAAAGAAACAAAATTAATTGGTGAATTACAATGAATATTCCTCTTTTATTTGATTTAAAAACTTATTAAGGTTTGATAAAGGTTCAAATGTTCTGAAATCATAATACATACGATATAGGAACTCGTCTATATGACTCCATAATAGCCGTCCTCTAGAGCCGTGGTACGGTCTTAACTTACTTACTTACTTACTCCTGTTACTCCTCGTGAAGGAGCATAAGCCGCTCACCAGCATTCTCCATCCAACCCTGTCCTGGGCAATCCTTTCCAGCTTCTTCCAGTTGTTATTCATCCTTTCCATATCTGCTTTTATTTCCCGACGAAATGTGTTCTTTGGCCTTCCACTTTTCTGCTTCCCTTCAGGATTCTATGTTAGGGCTTGCCTTGTGATGCAGTTTGATGATTTGCGTAGTGTATGTCCTATCCATTCCCATCTTCTTTTCCTAATTTCCTCTTCAGCTGGAATCTGGTGTGTTCTCTCTCAGAGAAGGCTGTTGCTGATGGCATCCGGTGAATGGATGTTGAGTATCTTGCGTAAACAGCTATTTATAAATACTTGCACCTTCTTGATGATGGTTGTTGTAGTTCTCCAAGTTTCAGCTCCGTACAGTAGAACTGCCTTAACATTCGTATTGAAGATTCTCACTTCAATCTCCACCACATGGCTTCAATGTTATTAGTATGAAAGTCGGTTGTAGGGTCGACAAAATGACGTTTATGCACTACGACATGATGAACACACACAAGTATATGAAGGCATCTGTACGCTCTCCAATCATCTGTATATACCGTAGTGCCCGGCTGTACGTATTCCTTTATAATTGGTATTATTGTGCTTGCTTGACGGTTTCTCACCCTCTGAAAATTCCCCTTTTGCGTTGAGTGATCATAAATTTCAAGTACCTGTTAAGTATATTTACGGAAGTGCTACTTACCCAATCTTGCTTGATACTACGTCCCATGTTGTATTTTCGCTTTCTCACTACTGTTTCATCTATTTCCACAATACTTCCAACTCCTCGGAATGATTGGTGTACACGTGTCATTTTAATTGCACATATGTCGCGAAAATACTCATACCATTCGACGGCTGAAATTTCAATAACATCTGAAAACGCCGCAGCCAGTGTTACTGGTGTCTTCATTATCCAATTTGCAACTATTATCATAATCTGCCTCAGTTTCAGTCGCAATCGAGGGAAGAAAGTCCCCATTCGAGCAGACGTTTTTCTCCAATATAAAAAACAACAAAATACAGTCTCATCGCGATATTCCGCAAACCGTACTGCAGTCATCTGATTTACACAGTCACAGGTACAGGAACTTCTTAGTAGTCTCATCTCTTGTACCTGCTCTATAATCAACTCTTCTCTAAAATCTGCTGTAAATGGATCGAATGTGAGTATCAGGTGTTGAACTTGATGCCGTGACGTTGAAACCCCTCAAACGCTTCTGATTGGCTCTTCCATAAGCTAGAGTCTCGCCGGAGGCACCAAATAGATATGCGCCACATACATCATTCGATTTGTGTGAGGGCTGGGATACTGTCCGGCTGCATAAACAGAAGCAAGTGGTTTTTTTAGGGGATGACACCCACAACCTTTGACCTTTAGGTTTAATCCATAAGACAGCGGAGCAATGTCACGAGATGCAGTCCCATGGTAACCAGTAACCAACAATAGGTCCATACGCCATTTGTTCCTTCAGGATTCTGGAGTCCATGTGCACCATTAGTATGAAATGAGGGTTTTTTAACTCACCTAACATGGACTCTCCGTGTCCACCAACTCGGTTTAAGCCACTGCTGGACATTCGCTTTTCGTCCTGTCAGTTTCGTAAATAAGACCCGTGGTCCGAGAATACAGTGAGTAGGACTTCGTTTGTAGTGGTTGTATAACATGTCCATGTGAGAGTATTTGTTGATGGAGATCTAACTCTCCCTACTCTTGGTCATCCTAGGGTATTTAGATCTACATTGACTTAAAAGAAATATTCCGAACGGTGAGTTTATCATTTATGGACGACCTTTAAGCGACGCTAAAGTAACCTTGAGAATCTCCATCTACTTATTAGGGTTAAATGATGATTATAGGTCAGTGTGAGGAATTAGAATTTACAGTTGGACTTTAGGGTTAAGAACTAGATTTAGTCTTTTCATCACGAGCTGACATAAACTAAAATGAAAAATAATTGGATGAATTCCGTGCCAAAATCCACGATCCGCCGAATTAAATCTGATTGGTTCGTCTTGAAATTATAGTCTTGACGAATTTATTTATTTGACTGTACTACTCATGAGTAACCATCTTCACTGTATATAATTTGTGATTAATATTTGCGTGAATAGGAAATCTTGTCAGAATTAAATGAAATCGTTTATTTCACATTATTATTATTGTTATGTCTGCCGACATAAGTAGTATGCAACACCAATCAAAAATGGAATACCTAGCAGCAGAAGGTTGAAAATATCTCACTGAAAAGAACAGGAATGTAAATAGAGAGTAATCGTAATATCGATGAAAGAAAGAAGTTTGAGACAACTGATGGAGGATTTGTAAATGACGTACTTAATGTATGGTTCCCCCACCTGATTGTACACAGCTCTTCAAGCTTATGCATTACAGCCAAACTGAATCGGTAACACAGACCAGTCTTCTAGCAACATTTTGCATTTACGTAGGGAGAAATCCACCCAAAACATGTCTACTATGTTGTTTAAGGCGATTAAAATATTTATAAGTTTCGTCAGTCTTCATGAAACAGAACTTTCTCATATTCACTTGGTGTTGTTTACTTGTATATTCCCATTGTTATTTAGGGCTGCAATTGATCAGTCACTTATTGGCATGTATGCATCCTATGTGGACTGCCTCGATATTGTCTGAAGTCACAAGCTTTTTAAGCAAGGATGGGTTTGAGTCCCGGAGTGAAAATTGATCCTGGGATGCAGGTACATCCAATTGATGAGTTCGAAATAGGTCGAAACGCGCGTCAAACTGTATTACACTGCTAGCCACCATCCATCTTTGCTACAAAACTCTGTGACTTCAGGCATTGCCGAAGGAATCCACACAGGATGCACATATGCCAACAAGAAACTGGTCAGTTGCAGTTCTATATGGAAATGGGAAGATACAAGTAAAACAACACCAAGTGGATTTAAACTTCACTCCACTGCACAAGCAGGTGTCTATCAGGACTCAGTAGCTTAATGTATAACGCAATGGCATGCAGTTGATCAGTCTCTTATTTGCATATAGGCATACTGTGCGTATTGCCTCGATATTGCCTGAAGTCACAAGCTTTATAAGCAAAGATGAATAATGTCTAGCAGTGGAATGCAGGACACTTGTTTTGTCCTACTTGATACTCGTCTGCTGAAGGTTTCTGCATTTCAAAGTTGATATTCACTCTGGAAGTCGAACTCAGTACCATTTGCTTTAAATGCCATCGTGTTATCCACTTAGCTGCTGAGCCCTGATAGCCACCTGCTTGTGGCGCGTCCTGGATTCCGCTGCTAGCCACTATCCATCTTTCCCTATAGAACTTTATCATCTGCATATTCTACGTCAGTATTAGAGTAACTCCTTAAAATTCAGATTAAGGAAGTATTCTTTCTAAACGTATGCTTACACCTAACTGAAATAGAATGAGAGGCAAATGAAAATCCTGTCAATTAAAATGAAAGTTTTTTATAAGCTTCAATTCATTCAAATAGTACTCTTATAATCAATTACAATATAAAGTGATTACATCATTGCCATTATTCTTACCAATTAGTTTCTCCTCGGAATTTTCTAATTCAATTTGTATCGAAGGTGATAATATTTTATCGGTTCTTGTATTGATCTTTGAATGATCAGTTGAATGAATTGAGACCTAATATTGATGAGAGAAAAACTACACTAGAGTCAATCAATGTGACAATTAACTGAAAAAGACTGTCTATTTGTAACTGATTAAATGAATGATACCTATTTATCTATTGTATAGTTTGGTCAGTAGTATCAATTGGTACTTGTATTACAAGGAGAAGGTACAAATAGAGTAAGCGGTTATCGAAAATTACCTATCGATCAGTTTTATTACTTGAATCCTGTTGATGGTTGTTTTGGTGAATCTTCCAATTAGATGACAATCCATGAAATTGTGAGACCGTCTTCTATTGTACCTGTCTCAACTTGACATAGATTAGCTTTACTGATCACGTCTTTTCACTAGAACTGGATCAGACTAATGTCAAGGAACTAGGAAGCATTGGACAACTATTTCTCCATAGCATAGGATTTTTCAGCTTATGATCCCACAAATGATTGATCCTATGACTTTCAGGTATCATTATGAATGCTTAACAATGCTTAACAACAACAAACTCATTGTTTAATTATACAGTTTGATCTTCGATATAAAGTGACAATCAGCTCCTAGAGAGAAGGGTGTTGATATGAACTATTGAGTAGTCCCATATCAAAATGAAATCATTATACGATAATCTCTGGTCTTCAATGATGCTCTAACAGAGATAAATCTGTCATCAAATCAAATCTAAAGCTTATATCAATCCCCATAAAACACTAGCTGAATAAACTGGTAAAAACATGTGATGTTCCTCACCTGGTTATCTGGTTTATTGACAGTTATTTCAGGGATTTTAACAATGGCTTGATCTAGATCAGTTTTATCCTGTTTTTGTTTATCTGAGCTATGTGATAGATTATCAGAAGAATGTAGTTTATCGTTAGGTTTTGTAAACGAGACATCAGATAATGATTTTGATTGTAAATAAGTTTCTTTAGAAGATTCATATTGAGTTATGTAGGGTTTCTATGAAAAATGTAAAAAGGAATTTGGATAAACAACGTTATGTTAGAAATAGACAGCCAGATATAAATCAAATGCGAATAACTGAATGCTATTGATTTTTCAAAGGAAATCGATACATACTAGTGACTGAAAATCTAACTTGATTTTCCGTAAGGGATAGATATACATTTATGAATAGGTAAAACTATACTATACTGACGGTCTTAAACGATTAACTGCAGTTAAGCTAACTGTTGAGCGAATTTAAAACGCTATTACAGATACACTTTGTGTTGTTTTACTTGTATTTTCCGATTGTTATTTAGGTCTGCAATTGACCAGTCTCAGTATTTAAGTAGATAACGCGATGGCGTTTGAAACGAACGGTACTGGGTTTGAGTCCCAGAGTGAGCATCAACTCTACGATTCAGGTACATCCAGCTGACGAGACCCGAATGGGACGAAACGTGCGACAAACTGAGTTTCACTGCTAGCCACTCTCCATCTTTTCTTAAAACGTTATTACAGATAGCCTGTTGAAACTCATGACTGGTTGGTTATTTTTTATGTGGAATGAACTATTAAGGTCAATAAGTTAGGATTAAGTGTATCGCGTTTAGATGTTAGGGTTAAGGAGTTTTAGGTTAATATTATTAAGGTTAGGATCAAAGGTTCATGAGTATTACGATTAAGAATTAGGTTGATCACTGGGTGGTGAGTGAACAATGCCATGTGTGTCAAATCCTTCTTAGTGCAGGTCGAATGCTATCGATCAAGTTGCAATGTGGCCACTAGTCTAGGTGACTTGACTCGATCGAAACATAGATCCAGGGTTTCCTGTTAACTACCTCTAACCACCATCAGATCTCAACATAGTGCACGCAATGTCGAGTCATCTAGACTAGTAGCCACATTGCAACTTGGTCGATAGCATTCGATATGCACTCAAAAGGAACTGACACCATCACCCAGTGATCAATCAATTGTGAATACATCTCAGTCATAAAGGAGGTTAGTTGTGGTCCGGATAACTCAGTGGTAACGTCTCTGACTGTGAAGCTGAGTGACACGAGATCGAATCCGCCAGGGAGCACCAGTTCCTTCGAGATCACAGGTACACCTTGATGATAAGTGCCAAATAGCACGAAACCCGGGTTCAGGATTTCCTGTTGACTACCTCTAACCACGATCTTATTAGGAATTAGGGTTAAGAGTTCGAATTGAGGAATTTTAAGGTTAGAGTTAGTTTTTTTTAAAGATATATAGGGGTATAGCCTGATTTTAAAACAATGATCTTAAGTCTAAATTATTGATGTTCTTAGTAATTTTATCTTTTTTTTGAATATTTTATAGCTCTGATACTGAAACTGAATCCTGATTGACTATTTTTGATTGGTTAGTCTTAAGGTTATCTTTTAAATTCTCTTAAAGTCGTCGGTATTGCATAATTTTAGCAAGAAGAGCTTATAACTTTCCATTATATTACTGAACTAAGTACTATTGTGGTGTGAGCTACTTATATTGATATAAGTAGTATATAACGTGCGTTAAAAGAACGTAATGTCCGGCAGCAAAAGATGGCGAAGACCAAGAAAGGTGGAGCGAGAACATAATGAAATTTGTAAGAAAACCTATGAACAATGGAATAGGAGACAATGGATTGGTGTTTGCAACAGAAACAATGCAGTTTGGTTTGATGCGTGAATATTTTGCAAATTGACGATTTAATATATGGTATTCAGATACTGTTGAAATAGACTGTAATTGTTGTGCTGAATACATTTGATTGTCGCCACCCGTGTTCTCGTTCACTACAGTATGATCGTGCATTTAGGAAGTATGAACATCAGTAGTAAACTTGAACAAAATTTACAATTGATTAATCAGTAAGTAATGATCGATGACATTTATGTTAAGCTTTTATCGAATCTTCTCGAACAACAAACACTGTATCCAATAGTCTAAGTTACTCGACATCAATGTGAACAGTGTTTATATGTATAATGATGGTCAATAGGAAACTTAGATCATGACATTTGTCGCTACTCCGTGACTAATCAGCTGTAAATATATCTTAGTCCTATAGGAAGTCTATCATGGTCTGCATAGTTCACTGACAATGTCTGTGACTGTGAAGCTGGTTGACACACAATAAAATCCACCAAGGAGTATCGGTTCCCCTAAAAATACAAATACATCTTATTGACATGTGCTAAGTAGCATGAAACATAGTTCAATTAGGATTTCCTGTCGTCTACCTTCAACTGTAGCGAACAAGTACACCAGCGGAGACAATCGAATGTATTTGAACACGAAATTACAGAATATCTCAATAAAATCTGAAAACAGTACAGTAAATACTTCATTTCAAAAATATCAATCGATTGTCTCAAACTTGACTGTTTCTTTTGCAAATAACAGTCCATCGTCTCAGATTTCATTGTTCCTGTATTTTCATATCAAATGCTTTCCGTTCCCGTTCTGTACTTCTCGATCTTCTATTGAAATACATTTTATTCCTGACTATCGTTATATACTACTCATGTGGATTAGTGGTCTTGAGGCCTTTTAGAGATGTGAGGGCGGTTATCACTTCCCGGTTTCTCACACTGTGTAAGGGTTCTTCTGGAGGAACCTGGTAACGAAATTTAATTAGAGGTGGTTTTATTGACCTGAGGTTATGACCGCAATGACAAAGAGACAACTGCTTGAGGTCAGTCACACACGACCTTTTGTGAGTAATTTCCGTGTTAACTCCATACTTATTGAGACCTTACCACTGGAGACGGATATCCTTGGAATAAGGCAAGATGTGTATTTTTAGGGTAGACCTTTTCTAACCTCACTTCTCTTTGTGGGAAGGCAGCATCGCTTTTATGCTGGTTGTCTGAAGGAAAACATTTACTGCCATCACACCTCTGTACAGTCAGCATTACAATTCGTCTTCGGACCTTGAATTTGTTACTTTTAGTCTAACCGTTCTTCAACCGACCTGTCTCACATTGTACGACCTTGAGGAACGATTGTTCTAGCCAGTATAGCTCGATTGGTACATCACGATAAGCAAGACCGACCATCACATCAAGATAGTAAAAACGGTCAGGCTTATTTGGATATGAGTAGCTTACACCACACAATCACCAGCTTATATCAACAAAATATTACTAGATACTGCCTATCAAGAGTAAGCTTAAAAAACAATTATTTCATATATACTTTTCTCTGAATTAAACAGATTACCTCTGCAGCCTGTCTCACTGGTTCCATTTCTAAATCTTTAGATTCTTCCATATTTGGTTGATTATATACCACAGTTTTAAGACTGTTGGTAGTAGTTGTATTAGTAGTATTATTATTAGTAGTATAAGGTTGTTGCCAATATATTTTTAAATATAATAAGCCACAATGAGGTAGATTTTTATCGATTTGATTGAATTTCTCCAATCGATTAAATTGTTGTTGTTGTTGTTGTTTATTTGTGAATGCATTTAATGGGAATATTTCAAATACACCATCAATTTTTTGATTTTTATTAATTAAACCAATTAATGGAATTCTAGCTAAACCAATACAACTTGTTTCAGGTGAAGGATCTGCATTATCCACAATGTAAATGTTTAAATTCTCTGTTCTTAAATAACTGAAAATCAATGAGATTAGAATGAAGGAAATGAGATTGTAATCAATAATTCTTCTTTACTGGAATTATTTATTGAGAATACTGCTGAAATACTGCCCGGGTGCTTAAATTGAAGCAGATGGTTTTCTTAGGGGATCACACCTGGAGCCTTTGACCTAAAGATCTTATCCATAAGGTAGTGGAATAACGTTAGGAGATGCGATCCCATGGTAACCGGTGATCAGCAATAGGTTCATAAGCCATTTATTCCTTCAGGATCCTAGACCTGATGTGTACCATTGGTTTGGAATGAGGGTTTTCCAACTCCACCAGATGAACTCTCCGTGTCCACCAACTCGCTTAAAAAGCCCGATATTCGCTTTTCGTCCTCTCAATTTCGTAAACAACACCGGTAGTGCTAGTAGGCAGTGAGTAGGACTTCTCTGTTAGTGGTTGAATGCACGTGGCTATGTGAAAGCCTTTTGAGAGGGAAAGCGGACTCTCCTCACACTCGACTGTACCAAGGCATTTGGGGTCCTACGGTGTCAAATATTATTTAATGATACTAGAAGGGTTAGGAGAAAAAAGGATCAGCAGATACGCTAGGTTAGTCACACCAGTCGAACATCATTAGTTCGGCACAGAACTAAAATTGAATAAGTCGTATTTCGATTGGTGAATAAATCACATGATAAATAGCTGGGCTATTTTTATCTGGGATATATTTTATCTTTTTTTAATTAAACTACTTATATCTTAGATAGTAGATTCATGAATTAGTATTGAATTCAGTCGATAGCCTACATCCGTATCATAGCTCAGAAACCCACTTTATTTATGGTTCAGTTAACTTACATGGTACAAAGTGAATGCGTAAACATTTACTAACATAAAGCTAACATATTCAACATGATAAAGAAAAATCATCAGTATAGGGTTGCGGAGATTCATGTTAGACCACAATCCCGTGGATGTGCACTGCTGAGGAGTTGAACAATAGGACGAAACGGTTGTCCAGTGCTTTCAGGTTTTCAATGGTGGTCTAACAATAATAGGTTCAAGATCTCAATCAAACAGAAAAATTAAACAAACAAACAAACAAACTTACTTATCAAGTTTATCATTCATTTCTAATTGAATAGTACGACAATCATTAAATATTGGTGTTAAATTCTCCTTCATTATAGTGGAAGCATATTCTGGTTGATTATAAAATTGATATACAAAATAAATAGATGGTAAATAATCTAAATAATTCCTAGCCAAGTTGGTAATTTTCACAATTTCAATAGTAAGTATATTCTGTAATGGATCTATTGGAAGTAGGTCTTGTTGAGTAGATGACATAGATTTAGGCAATTGTTGAAATCTTTCTTTGTAAAGTCTGAAATTTCCATAGAAATAAAAAGGATTCATGTTTTCTAATATCTAAATTCTAAATAAACATTTTATGGTATTAAATTATACTGTTCAGTGTACTACTGATGTCGATAGATATAAGTAGTATGTATATCACCAATAGAAAGAGAAATGTCTGACAGTAGAAGGATAAGAAGATTGAAAAAAAGAGAACAAGAACAGAGGATGATTGGTAAGGAAATGAAAGAAAAATGAAGCTTGAAACAATGGATTGACATTTTGTTAATGAATTATATACTGAGATGCAAGTACATTCAGATAACGAGTCTTATATAGGACGAAATGCGCGTCAAACTGGATTCCACTGCTAACCTCTATCCATCTATGCTTATAATGCTTGTGAATTAAGGCAATATCGCCTGTTTCGATATCCCATTTTATTTATAGTCTAAATAGATGTATATATCAGAGAGGGTTTTGTGGAGATTGTAGTAATTTAATAGTTGAGATCATAGGTCAATTAAAGATAGACCACCATGGAAAAACCTAGGAGCACTGATAGGACTGATAGGTCCTGAGTTCGAATCTCACGGGATGGGATCGTAGACACCCATTGCTGAGGAGTCCCATACTAGAAATATATATATACATATGATGAGCTGGATTTTTAGTGATGTAACAACTCCTTATAGTTACAAGTTAGTTGTTATCTTTTAATATTCGTGTTAGCCATTTAGCTACTGAGTCCTGATAGCCGCTTGCTTGTGCGAAGGGATGAAGTTTAAATTCATTTTGTATTATTTTTCTAAATCGTCCTACTAACGTTTAGGACTGTAAATGATCAGTCTTTTGTTGGCATATGTGCACACAGTACGGACTGCCTCGACAAACGACAGGAGTAAACGTCAGAAACGAGTAGTGAAGAATGGCATGGGAGACTCATTGAAGCAGCTTAAACAACACGATTTTATTTCAAAAAAAAGTGTTTAAAATGTCGAAACCTACACCAAGGCTAATATGTTCTGCCATAAATACAGTTAAAAAATAACGCTTGCTCCTTGTACCTGTTTAAGATACCATTACTTCAGTCTATCATATGTAAATCCTCAAGAAATCTATAAATGTAATGTCAAGGACTCCTACAAAATGTGTTCATGATGTAAAACCATATCGATCAAAAATACATTTATGGTGTTTTTAGATGTCAGTCAGTCGGTTAATCAGCTACAACGTAGGACCAGGCACATACATAGATCGCTCCAAGTTGCCATACCCCATTAGCACAATAACATGAACACCGAATTCATAGAAGTAGTTACTTCAGTGGTGGTAATATATAAAAGAAAGATTGTATATAAGGACATAATACAGGCAGAAAGTATTAGTTGGTAGAAATATTTGAAGTAATTTTAATCTCGTGGTTTAGAGCAAGACAAATAGTGTATATACCAACGTCATTGTGATCGATTCTGAGCCATGTCACCCGAAGTTTCCAACCAATGGTTACGATAGTCACGCGGACCTCAACCAAGTAATCTGCATCTACCAACATGGCTCAGACTAGAAGTTAATGACTTCAAAGACTGATGCCACATTTTGGTTTGACCGCCCATAACTTTCTTTCAACCATCCCTAAAACTAATCAGCATTTCATTAGATGTATCGTCTTCATCATGTTGCACTACAAGAAATTGTGGGTTTTATTTCCAATGAACTGACAGACAAGCCCAAAGACGTTTTAACTCTTGTATCTATAATAAAAAAGTTAATTATTAGATGACTATCATTTAAATTTGTTATATAGTAAGTAACTCATTGACTTGTAGCGTGGTGTCGAGTCGAGTTTGACTATGAGCACCACTACAGGGAAACGCGTACCAAATAAATCAGAAGTCAAAGATTGAATGTAAACAGATTTATTCGTTGGCAATCTCGTGGTATCGAAAGGATTCCGAGATCGTGTCAAAGGGGTACAAATGGAATCAGCGGGCAAGAGTACAAACGTACGAGGTCACAATCCGCGGAAGAGTAATGGAGAGTAACGGAGGAGGAATATGGTTGTCATTAGCACAGTTAAACAAACGAGCACAGTAAAACAATCACTGTTTCAATTAAATCAATCGCGTTCTCTTGGTAAAAGTAGGTCACTACAGACTTTTCGCTATGAATATATATGAATAGAAACAATATATTTGATTCTTTGATAAAGTAATCATCTATTTATGAGTAAAATCAATAATCAAGATGTTAGGACTATCTCCAGATGAACTCAAGGAAGCTTTGAAATAGCCAAAAACATTCCAGTCAATCATCTTTTAAAAGAACATTCCAGAAACTCGATGTGTACACATGCTAGAACTCACTATATGTGGATTGGATAACTGAATGATGATTTCATTTTGACTAAAAAAACTATAAATACCTTAGACTTTCGTACCTTCACACTCGTCTTCTTTTATTCTCACTTGCTACATGGAGAGATCTAGTGTTCGAGTTCTAAAGTAGTATGTGGTCTAGCAAGAATCTAAGCTCTAGATATAAGATTCATCTCAAATCAAAACAAAACAATATTTATATATTTTAATAATATGACTTACTTAATAGAATCTGGCATCGGTGCAGATAAACGTATCCAATAATCTAATGTTCCTACTTTAATTTTCTCATTTACTTTATTCATCTCTTTACTATTCATTGAATTATCTGGAGTAGAGATAAGAAATAAATCTAATTGACCATGTCGACGTATAACACTACCAGAACCAGGTAATTCTATGATGTCGTCTAAAAATGGAAAGAATGAAGAAAACAAATCATTATTGTGAGTAACTAATTCCTAGAATGTAACATTGTCGTGAATGAGAACACAAGTAGAGAATAACCAAAACTATAGAATTAATTATTTAAATCTGAGAATCATCCAGTAAATACTTCATTGACAAAAATTTTAATCAATCATCTTAAAATTCATTGTTTCTTCGCTTCCACATTAATCATTCTATTCTCTACAATCTTCCTAACTTTCTGTCTTCCGGCATTTCACTTTCAATTGATGATAGATACTACTTATATTTATCGAAATCTTATTTACTTACTTACGCTTGTTAACCCCAATAGGTCATATGCTATCGACGAGCATTCTCCAACCCACTCTGTCCTGAGCCTTACTTTCTAGTTCTATCCAATTGTTGTTCATTCTTCTCATGTCTGTCTCCATTTCTCGGCGTAATGTGTCCTTTGATCTTCCTCCTCTCCAGGATTTTAAGTGAGAGTTTGCCTTATGACGCATTTGGGTGCATTCCTCAATGTGTGCCCTATCCACTTCTCGCGCTTCCTCCTGATTCCTTTGTCCGCTGGGATTTGGTTTTTGTTCTCTCCCACAGTATGTTGTTGCTGATAGTGTCTTCGATCTTCTTAACCCTCTCGCAACAGATATTTCACTTTCGACCGATGATACATATACTACTTATATCTGTTGACTTATATCAGTAGGATACACCATATCATTTTTAAATATTGCAGTTTCCACTATTCTGGCATATATCTACTATGGTAATTACCTTATCCAATATGAAAGACAATTTCAATAGTTGTGATAACCAAGAAAAAAGAACTAGACTCTTTTTGAATTCAATTCATTCAATAATTGATTTAATGTTACAAACTGAAAATGGACAGTTTCTTTTTCATTGTTTAGATCATTTGATGAATTTCTCCGATATATTTTATTCAATTTTGAACTTAATATCATAACATAGAAATTGTTGCCTTCAGATGCCCTGGTACGACTGAGGTTGGGAAGAGTCAGCTCTCCCTCTCGAAATGCTCTCCTCTGACCACACTTACACAGTCACTGTGAGGGATGTCCTACTCACTGCCTTCCCACCACGGTGTGTCGTTTATGAATTTGAGAGGACGAAACGTGAATGTTCGGCGCATTCACTGGGTTGGTGGACATGGAAGATCCACTCAGGGGAATTGAAAAACCCTGATTGAAGAGTTAAAACACACATTTATTATTATAAATAGTTGGCATTTTGCAGACATGAATGCATCGACGTGTTGTTGTTTTCTCCGTAGTGTAATATGTATGTCCACTCTTCCTCTCGAAATGCTTTCACATGGCCACACGTATACAGTCAGTGACAGGGAAGTCCTACTCACTGCTTCTTGTGGCAGTGGCTATTTTTATGAAATCAAGAAAACGAAAATCGAATATCAGGCATTGTAACCAGGTCGGCGGATATGGAGCATACACCTAGAGGAGTAGGAAAACCCTGGTTCCAAACCAATAATGCATATGAGCTCCATGATCCTGAGGGAAAAAGTGGCGTATAAACTTAAAGTTAGTCACCGGCTACCATGAGACAGTGTCTCTCAACGTTGATCCATTACCTTATGGATACGACCCATAAGTTGAAGGCTCAGGGAGTGGCCCCCTATAAAAACCATTTGCTTCGTTCTGGTCATACGATTAGTATCACAGCCCACACACAAATCAAGTGACTTGTGTGACGCATATCCATTTGGTGCCCCTTTGTACCACTATTTATATGTTCAAATAGATGAAATAATAAGCAAATAGAGTTCGTTATTCTATTTCATTCATTTCTCAATGAAATGCATTCATAATTCACCAGAATATTTATCGTTTGATTAGTTACAAGATAACAATCAACGATGATTTATTTCCAATTATGTATACAATACGGCCTACTTGAATATCTAGACTACCTGTTTCTGCCATCTAGATATTTCATCAAGTTGCCTGTTTTCTTGTTTGTTTCTTCTAATACAACATAATGTTCATTAGTCTCATAACCTATTCAGATGCAGTTATGAAACATTTGCGACCTTTGGCTGCTCGACTTACAAAGAAGTACAATCACAGATATCGTGATTGCTAGCAATATACATCGAAAATGATTGTACGTTATTTAGATGTTGATTGACTGGACTACTAACATCTAACTGGAGATCACTCAATAGTTATCGTCAGGATCGACTAAGAAGTAAAAAACGGAAAATTGTTAAAAAACTTTGTTCTGAGAATTCTATGTTAGACCACCGTTGGAAACCTGGAAGCATTGGAAGGCCGTTTTGTCCTATTTTGGGACTCCTCAGAAGTGTGCATCCACGATCCCGCCTGCGAGATCCGAACTCAGGGCCTTCAGTCTCGCTCACGAACGCTCAACCTACTAGACCACTGAGTCAGGACCCAATGGTGTTAGTGTCTAACGTCAACCAATCCACGAAATCGCACTACCATTTTCCATTGTACTGAGGTAGATACCTATCTCTACCCCACACGGATTATCCCCACTGATCATGGCTTCTCACTAGAACTCCGATAATTCCCTCACGAAGCTAGTCACTAGTAAGCACATGTTAATTATCAGTATAGAGGTTGTGGAGATTATCAGTTAAACCTAGCCTATAATGATAAGCTTTATAAATGAGTATTACCTGCTTGAATAATGATCTTATGATAACTGAAAATAATAACTGAAATGACATAAAGTATAAGTATTAACGATGGTGATTGATAATATTTCACTGATTGATGATAAACATAGCAATTCGAAAGAAAACCATTTTACGTAAAGTTCTATAGGGAAATATAATTTTAATAGTTGAATTCACGAGTCAATCTAAGCAAGACTACCACTGGGAACCTGAAATAACTAGACGAAGGTTTCATACTAGCAGGGGGCTCAGACGTGTGCAAACACGACCCCATGTGATGGACTCGAGCCAATGACCTTCGGTCACGTGAGCAGACGTCTAACCTCTAGACCATTGAGCTGGTATCCAGCAGTCCTGATGCCTAACTTTAACCAATCCACGATATCGCACGACCGTTCATCATTGTCTTCAGTGGGTCACTGTCTTACAACAGACACGGTTGAACTCCACTGGTTACGGCTTCGTACTAGAACTTTAAGAAATACATTTTGAAGTCAATCACTATTAAGCACATGATGATTACTATTGGAATGAAGATTTGTAGAGATTATAACAATTTAATAGTTGAATTTACGCGTTGATCTAAGCCAGACCACCATTGGGAACCTGGAAGCACTTGACGGCTCTCTCGTAATAATGTGGGGCTCCTCAGCAGTGCGCATCCACGATTCCCCACATGGAACTCAAACCCAAGACATTCGACCGCGCACGTGAATGCTTAAACTCCAGACCGATGAGACAGCATCCAACGGCCGTCCATTCATGATATCAGTCTAAATATATCATCATTTTTATGATTAGAGATCCACCCGACGCTCGATTTATCAGAAATTATTTAGTATAGCCTTCACACATCCATTTTTTTCATCAACATAGATGATCTACCGTCATTATGACTTGGAAACATCTTTGTAGTCGTCGCGATCATCATTGATGTGTTTGGTGTACTTGAAAAGATATGTTGTCTTCGAAACATTGTCTTTAAAAAGAGATGCTTCCTTAATGTAATAACAAATCTTAGTTGGTTATTTATCACATTTATGAATAGATTTCGTATACAGTTATTTTTCAAGATATGAATTAATTTTATAGTTGAATTCACGAGTCAATTGAAGCCAGATCACCATGGAAAACATGGAAGTACTGGACAGCCATTATGTCCTAGTATGAAATACCTCAGCAGTGCGCGTCCACGATCGCGCCCCATGAGATTCAAACCTAGGACCTATCGGTCTAACGTGCGAACGCTCAACCTATAGAGCCGGCATCCAACGGTGTTGATGTTCAATGCTTCCAGATGGTCTAGCTTCAATTGACTAATGAATTCAACTATCTTCACAAAACCTCTCTCCGAATATGAATAAATAAAGGATTTATTTTACCTTTTTCGGTGAATAATTGTGAAAAATTAAGTTTTCCAATAGCGATAGTACGATAATTGGAATTGATAACTTGATGCATTTCCACAGTGCATGGTTCCTAGAATAAAGAAAAAAGATGTTTTAAAAGTGACTAAATTGGATTATGAGTACACCCCTGTGAGATAGTTTGATGATATACACATGAAGAGATTATTGACTTTCTTTAAGCCAAAATTATTAATTCATTATACATTAAATGATGTCGTCCATCAGCGCACACATAGTGTACAAGAATACCAGTAAGGACAATCAAATATGACTGTTACTTCGTTTCTACAACAATCACTCTCTGTTCTCGTTCTCTTTTCTTTGATTTTCTTAACCTTCTGTCACCAGGTATTCCACATTCGATTGATGATACATACTACTTATATCTGTCAATAACAGTAGCACACATCACAAAAATACTTCACTCCTACAGAAAGTTAGTAAAAGACTGAATAGATCACTGGGAACTTTACAGACATTAAAACTGGGTGACATGGATTTGTATCTACCAAGTATGATTTGTATCCTCAAAATCGCAGATATGCTTTATCAATGGTGTCAACTAGCACAAAACGTAGTATCATGAAACATCTAGTTGTCAATAATCAGTAGTTACATCACAATGAAAAAGATAACACTTGACGACTATAAACTTCTGGAAAATGTATGCACAAAAATCGGATATATACTGTATAATACATACAGGCTCTATTGTAACTTATATGTCGCTTCTTACTTCTAAATGAGTAAACATTACAATTAAACTTCTGTATTATAAAAATATATGGATAGTAACTGTTGAGATCTGTTTATAGATTAATACTATGTATATTCATGTTCCTCTTATTATAAGCTTTATTTTGACCTATAGACCATTGTCATACAATTTGCGGTTCTTGAGTTCTTCCCCAATCTATTCATTACAGTCTACCACATTCACAGCCACTTTTGGTTAGATTTCATGGTATGATGTGGTATATTTGGCTTGTATATAAATCTAGTATATTTGAAATACATGATTCAGATTATAGTGGCTAAGATTAGCGTTTTAGTCTCAACCATCAGACAGGGCTTGACAGAGAGAAAGACCGATGAGTAGCCTAGACTACTCGTACGGGTTTTACACGTCATTGGTCCGGTTGATAAATCACTGTTCTCCAATTGACGGTATCATTACATTTATACATGAATAGAGCTAAATCTTGTACGAATGTTGTGGTGTAATGTGATTTGTTTGGTTTGTATATAAACTCAGTATGTCTGAAATACACAGTTCATATCGCGTTGGCTGAGATTGATGTTATGGACTTAATAAGTAGGGCTTGACAGGAAGAAAAACCGATGAAGATTCTAGACTATTCGTATGGGTTTATGCATTATTGCACCGGTCAATAAATCACCATTCTTTAATTGTCGGTATCATTACATCATAAGGGTACAAAGCAACAAGTTATACCACTGATACATTTCACTGTATAAAAAATCGATACAATACACATTTATGAAAAATGTACTGTATCTATCGAAAATTTAAAAAAAAACATAATCATAATAACAATCACCCCCTCCCTTCACGTCCCCTTTTTCCCCCCTCCACCAAATAAAAGGTTAATCAATCTTTCTTTTCCTATTTTACCTTAATTAAATAATTCATTAATGTATCATTCACTTCAATAGGATATTGTATTGTCATATTGAAATCAATTGAATCATGTACAAGTAAAATGGATGTTGATTGTGTTTCATAATCATAAAAATCCCATGTTAAAAATAATTGAATTAATTCATCATTCTTATCATTATTAATATTCGATGATATTGTTGAATAATATTTAGATAGTAACGATGGTAACAAATATAATTGACCTATATGTAACTATGAGAAAAGAATAAAAAAGAAAGTGTAATCTTTTATTATTATTATTATTATTATTATTATTATTATTATTATTATTATTATTATTATTATTATTATTATTATTATGTAATAGAATTGGGTAGAATGTTAGATTCGAGTTTGATTGGTTGAAATAGATGATTGTTAAAGTTAATCAGGTCTGTTGTAAGATAGTAAATCACTGAAGATAATGATGGATGTGTCAGTTCAGTGGTATAGTTGTTAAGCGTTCTTGCATGAGACTGATAGATCTTGGGTTCGAATCTCACGGTGTGGGATCGTAGATGCGCATAGCTGAGGTGTCTTATAGTAGAACGAAATGATCTTCCAGTGCTTCCAAGTTTTCCATGGTGGTCTTGCTTCAATTGACTCATGATCTCAACTATTGAAATTACTATAATATTCACAAAACCCCTTCTGATACTAATCAACATATGCTCACTAGTGACTATCTACAAAACCTAGAAGTACTGGATGGCCGTTCCGTCTTATTGTGAAACTCTTCATCAGTGCACATCCACAATCCCACCTCGCGAGATTCGAACCCAGGACCTATCGGCCTTGCGTGTGAACGCCCAAACTCTAGAACAATGAACCGTCATCCAACGGTGTTAATGTATAACTTCAATTGATCCACGAGATTGAGCCACCGTCCACCATTGTCTTCAGTGAGTTACTGTTTCGCAACAGACATGGTTTCTTACTAGATCTCCAGGAAAAAAGTCTTGGAGACAGTCACTAGTAAGCATATGATGATTATAATCAGCGAAGAGTTTTGTGGCTCCATGTTTCCCATGGTACTCTAACTTCAATTGATTCATGAATTCCACTATGAAATTACTACAGTCTCCACAAAATCCCTCTCTAGTTATTCTAATTGTTGTTCATTGTACTTGTAAAATCATTGAAATAGATCTTTTTGAAACGTTAACATTTCATAACCTTGAAAAGATACTTTAGTTGTTAAGACAAATCATACAATAATAAGAATTCATATTGTGTTTTTTCGCTACTTGATATATATAAGTTGTATATAGCATGAATCGGAAGTAGAATGCCTGACAGAAGACGATTGTATTGAAGAGAACAGTAAAGAAAACAGAAAGGAATTGGAATAACAACAGAATTCGAAGGATGAAACAGTATGTACAGAACAATTGAAAGATTTGCAAATCATGTCATATTTTACGCAGCCATCGTATAAGTTGGCGCTGAACAATGACTAGTTATCTCTATCAAGTCTTCATTTTCTCTCGAATGTAACCAGCCTTTTGTTTGACGTAGTTAATATGGAATAAGTGTTTGCGGACACTATAATATCACGGTGACTAAATTCGAGAGGTCATCACTAGAATTCCAGTAAGAAGCCTTGATTAGTGGGGTCCAACCATATGGCGAGTGAGGCGAGTACCTAACGATGAGATCAGAATGTAGTTACACAATATTGTGGATTGATTAAAGTTAAAAATATGAACTGCTGGATCGTAATTCAGTGGTCTGAAGGTTATGTGGTCTCAACAAAACCTGGAGAGTCTGGGTTCGATTCCCGATTATGAGGTTGTGTAGGTACAATGATGAGGAATTTCAGATGAGAACAAAACAGCTCCCCAGCGCTTCTTTATTTTTAACTAATATCAGTTAGTGATGTTAACTGTGAAATTCACAAATCTCCATAATACCTACTCAGTCAGTCAGTCAGTCCGCTACAACGTAGGACTAGGTACATATATGCATCGGTCCAAGTCGCACTTACTATAGTAACGTAAATAGGAATTGAAGATCAGTTTCAATTATTTATCGTGCAAATGTGATGGTTAGTTGACTTTTAACTATTTCCTAATCATTTCAGTTACATACCAGGTTGGACTCAAGTGCTGGAATTGTCTATATTAATATCTAATAGGAAATACCATACAACGTAACACTTTCTTATTGAAATCATGCGTAATGTCAGTATAGTGTAAATCCCCATTTTGACATTTTTTGATCTATTCGTTCTTATCATGGAAAATTCTAGTTTAAAACATATATTCGAAGATATATCATAACATGTTCTCAAAATGCCGTGGTACAGCCGAGAGTGGGAAGAGTCAACTCTTCCTCTCTAAATGCTCTCACATGGCCGCACATATACAGCCACTGACCAGAAAGTCCTATTCACTGCTTACTCACACTGCCGGTGTTTTCTACGAAATTAAAAGGACGAAAAGTGAATGTTCAACGCTTTAGCCGACCTAGTGGTTGTGGAGGATCCACCAAGTGGATTCGGAAAAAACTCATTCCAAACTAATGGTGCACATGCGATCCAGGATCCTGAGGGAACAAATGGCGTATGAACCGATCGTTAGTGACCGGTTACCATGGTACTGCATCTCCTGACGTTGCTCCACAACCTTGTGGATTAAACCTTTAGGTCAAAGTTTTCAGGTGTGGCCTCCTAAGTAATCCAAGTGTTTCGGTTTGGGCACCCAGGCATTATCCCAGCCCTCACATAAACCGAATGAGTTATGTGGCTCATACCTGTTTGGTGCTTCCTTGTACCAATGTTTACGTATTTAAATAAATAGATAATAAACATCCACTTATACATACCTCGATTAAGCTTTCTCCTGGTTTTAAAGCATCTTCTGTTGTTAACTTGTCATTCGAAAGTTGATCATTCTGTTAGATCCCAAAATGAACATTAAAAATGTAATGTAAATAAGATTTACACATAGTTATTTTTAGAATTATCACCCCCCTACACACACACACATTTAAATAACTTATATACAATAAATGAATTACAGAGTGATGAGTGTGTCGGTGACGGTTCAGTGGTCTAGAGTCTAAGCGTTCGCGCATGAAACCGAAGGCCTTGGGTTCAAATCTCGCGCGTGGGGTCGCGGATGCGAACTGCTAAGAATTCCCACAAAAACCTCTTCTGAGATAACAATTATGTTAAGCACAACAATCATAATTCAATTTTAGCATCACTAATGGGAAGCACTGGATAGTTGATTTTTCCTAGTATGGGACTCCTCAAGAGCGTACATCCACGTTCCTGCACGTGGGAACATTCGATCTAGCATGCTAACGCCCAACCCCTGAACTATTGAGCCAATAAGAAATTTCCGGAGTTCTAGTGGGAAGCCATGACCTGTGGAGCTAGTCCATTTCGGGTGTGAAACAGTTACCCACTGAAGACAATGAAAAATGGTCGAAAAGATCTTGGATTGAATGAGGATAGAAATTAATACCGATGGATCTAGGAGCAGTAGTCTAGTGTTTGGAAGTTCGATCCCGAGACCAATTACATATAGGATCGGCATGAAATTCACGCATCTTTTTGGGTAAATAGAGTTTTGGCATTATAGCTGATGCTAGTTCTTGATGAAAACCCTCAATCTAATTTCTAACCTTAATCATCAATTGTAAATCGTAATTCTAATTCCTCACACTGCTTTTTAATCCTCATTTGGTCCTGGTTGTTAAGTGGACACTCTCAGGATCAGTCTGACGTCGATCAATGGTCGTCCATAAATTATAGTTTCAACGTCGTGTATCACCATAAATGGGAAATATTTTTATCATGGTAAAATTCTAATCCTAATTTCCAACGATCTTTTCACCCTGTTAAGTTAATGATCCGTCTCAAGCTTATCTTGAACTCTTTGAACGTTCTTCCACAAATTATAGTCTAAAAACGTTGTCAAATCAAAACTGCTTATCTCTTCGCACAATCTGAAGGTCACTAGTACTATCAATGAATGGCTGATCTGTCATTAATGGACTAAAATAATTTGCTGATCTCATTCAGTAAGCACAAAAGAGTAAAAACTCATAACATTTATGGTCATGAGCAAAGAGGGATGGCAGTGGAATACAGTTTGACGCGCGTCTTATCTTATCCGGGACTGGTTAAGTGGATGTACCTACATCTGAGTTGATGTTCATTGAGGGACTCGAACCCAGTACCATCCACTCCAAACCCCATCACACTAACCACTCGACTGGTGAGTCCTGATAACCACCTGCTTGTGTGATGGAGTAAAGTTTAATTCACTTGATACTGTTTGTTTTTATCTTCCCATTTATGTTTAGGACTGTAATTGACCAATCTCTTTTTGGAATATATGCATCCTATGCGAAGGGTACAAAATTCGAGTCCCCTAGTGAACATCAACTCTGAGATGCAGGTAGATCCAGCTGACGAGTCCCAAATAAGACGAAACATGCATCCTAGATTCTGTTTCTAGTCACTATCTGTCTTTGATTATAATGCTTATGACTTTAGGCCATATCGCGGCAATCCTTACAGGATTCACATATGCCAATAAGTGACTGATCAGTTGCAATCCTAAACATCAATGGAAAGATTCAAGCAAACAATAACAAATGAATTTAAGTTTTTGATTGAGATCATGAACCGATTTATGTTAGACCACCATTGGAAGTCTGGAAGCACTAAAAGGCCGTTTCGTCCTATTGTGGAACTTCTCAGCAGTGCGCATCCACGATCTCGCTCGCGGGATTCCAACCCAGGGTCCTCAGTCTCGGTTCATGATCTCAGTCAAAAACTTAATATACTCCACAACCCCTATGCTGATAAGTGAATTTAAACTTCACCTCATTATACAAGCAAGTGGCTATCAGGAATCAGTAGTTAAGTAAATAATCCGATGGCTTTTGGAGCGAACGGTACTGGGTTCGAGTCCCAGAATGAATATCAGCTCTAAGATGCAGATACATCTAACTGATGAGTCTCAAATAAGACGAAACGTTAATTATGGATTCCACTGCTATCTACTATCCATCCTCCCTTATATAGCTAGTGACTTAAAGCAATATCGAGTCAATCCTCACAGTATTCACATATGCCAATAAATGACTGATCAATAGCAATCCTAAAGATTAATCGAAAGATTCAAGTAAACGATAACAAGTAAATCTAAGCCAAGTAGATAACGTGATAGCGTTTGAAGTGAACAGTACTGGGTTCGAGTCCCAGAATCATCTCTGTGCTAATGTGATATAACAACTCGAACTGATATACGTATGTACGAAGTTCTACGTTGTTATTGACTGACTGACTGATTGACTTACTGACGAATCTGAGAATGAACATCAACTTTAAAATACAGATACATCCAGCTGATGAATCTCAAATAAGACGAAACTCTAATCATGGATACTTATAATCTAAGACAATATTAAATTAATGATTATAAAGATTTATAAATGGAACTATTTTGTAATTATATAAATTAAAAATAATAATAAAATGATAATTACCTTATATTTATTTAATATACCATAAGTTAAATTATGTAATTGATTTTCTAATTGTTTTATTCGATTTAAACGTATCTCTAATAATTTTTTATATTCTATTAAACATTGTTCTGATTCTAATTTTAATTCATTATAACGATTAGTTAATTGTTTAATTTCAATTTGATAATCTTTATTAATTTTATATTGAATATTTAATAATTTACGTGTTTTCTCTAATTCATTAATTGTGTCTACATGTAATAATTCTGTTTCATTTAATTGTTTTAATGAATCTACAAAATAGATAAGATAAGATTATTCAATAGAACAAAAGATTAGAATGAGTTTTTGTGGAGAGTTTAAAAAAATTTCACAAGTTGAAATCATGAGTTAGTTGAAGCTAGACCATCATTGAAAACCTGGAAGCACTGGACGGCTGTTTTGTCCTGGTATGGGACTCCTTAGCAGTGCGCATCCACGATCCCGCGCCACGGGGGGCTCGAACCCAGGACCTACTGGCTTCGTGTGCGAGCACTTAACCACTAGACTACTGAGCCGGCATCCAACGGTGTTAATGTCTAACTTCAACCAATGCACGAAATTGCGCCACCGTACACCATTGTCTTCAAAAGATCTTTTAATTGAATCATAATTGATAGGAGGAGATTTGAATGATGTAAATATCTGTTGGGTCGACTTTCTGAGAATTACAATGGAGTCTTCAGAGGCTTTAAAGAAGTTGAAGAGTCCTAGTCAATCAAAGTATGATGAAACTTTCTAGAATGTTAACGTGACATACTACTATTGATCAGTAGCATAATATGTCTTTTAGTTGATTGGCTGAAATATGATGTTGAAGTGTTTTTCACTTAGTTTGTGTCTTTTCACTTGAGTTCAGTTAGCTGTATAGTTCTAGCTTGCGGATAACCAGAATAGCTTACGAACCGAATAAATCGTTCAAATTAACAAGACTTATCAAAATCTTTAGATATCTGACTGATATGATTAATGAACACAGCGGATCTGATGTAAATGTTAAGGTGAGGATCGGTAAAGCAAAAGCAGTATATTTATAATTGAATAATATCTGGAATTCAAAATAACAAAACTCAACTAACATCAAAGTTAGCATCTTCATTACAAATGTGATGTGAAGAGGAAAACAAGAAGTCTTGACAAACTACGAAAGCTATTTTTCGGGACGTTTTTTCATTTTATGCAAAGCTTGTAAAACACTAACGTTTATTTTTGTCTCTAATCTATTCGTTTGTGTTGATGCTTACTCAAAACGGCCGGAGATCCTTCCTGTGAATCAAATCACTTCGCAAGAGACTATTATGAAGTTATGGCATTTATTCTCCCGCTTTAGAGTCTCAGATATCCTTGTGTCGGATAACGGCACTCAGTTTACTTCTCCCATTTTCTCAGATTTCTGCAACAGATTTGGAGTCAAACATGTTCAAACATGTTTCTGACGCAAGATATCAATCGTGATATCTTAGCTACTACTTGTACCTAGTAACTAACCATCTTTTTTTTTTCTATTTATTCCAGTTTACCGAATTGGTCACGCTCTACAAGGATCACAACGTCAACCAGTTTCAATTATTTATGCACTCAGTTGAATGGCAGTTATAACTATTTTTGTCAATTATCAGTATGAGGGTTGTGGAGATTGTTAAGTTTTTTGATTGGGATCATGAACCAATTGATGTTAGATCACGGTTGGAAACCTGAAAGCACTGGACGGCCGTTTCGTCTTATCATGGGACTCCTCAGCAGTGCACATCCACGATCCCGCTCCCCGCGAGATTGTCAAGGTAGAAGATGATGTGAACAGGGAAACAAGAAGCCCTGAAACATTACGAAAGTTATTTTTCGGGACGTTTTTTATTTTATGCAAAGCTTGTAAAACACTAACATTTATTTTTGTTCCTATTTTATTCTACAGAACATGAGCTTTCGTTCGATACATGATTCATAGCCATACCTTTTTTTGTTTCGAAGCTATTGTAATTTAAACATATTGTTTTGCACCCTATTTCCTACGCTAATTCCCGGCTTTGGACACAACTGTATTTTTCCTAATTATCTTATGTTGTGGTCGGCTTATTCACCTATTTATTCATGTATCTCTCTTTGCACTGATCTGAAATCGGGAATAGATCGAGTAGTGTTCCAGTTGTCTTGTCTTCTATCACTCGCGTGCTTGTCAGCCAATCAGGTGACAGGATAGTTTTCTTCTTTCTACCTCACTCCGAACTCACGCGTACTAGCCTCAAGGTTAGGTCGGTCAGCTTATCGCGCCAAGGTAGTAATCTGATTTAGATAAGTATCCTCAGCACCAAAAGTGGGTAGACAGTCCAAAGACATAACAAAATGTCGAGACAGTTCTACTATATGGGGCGGAAACTTGAATAACTATGAATGCCACCATCCAGAGAATACAAGTGTTTATTAACAATTTTCTACGCAAAATATTTCGAGTCCGTAGGAAAAATAATATCAGGAACAACCAACTGTGGAAGAGAACAAACCAGATTACAGTGGAGGAAGAAATCAGGAAGAAGTGCTGGAAGTGGATAGGATACACATTGAGGAGAGCACCAAACTGTGTCACAAGACAAGCCCTCACATGTAATCCTTATGTTCAAAGGAGAATAGGAAGATCAAAGAATACATTACTGCGAGAAATGGAGATAGACATGAGAAGAATGAACAAGAATTGGATGGAAGTAGAAAAGAAGGCCGAGGACAGAGTGGGTTTGAGAATGCTGGTCGACGGCCTACCCTGCATTGGGAGTCACAGGCGTAAGTAAGTAAGCAAGTTAAAGTTAAGGTCAATCATGTTATCTATTTCAACTGTGTTTGACAATTGAAGGTTAGAATTAACTATCAATTGAATGTATAATGATGCTTAGATTATTTTAATCGAAAGAATAATGTCTTTAGTTCACAAAAAAACATAAACAAACTTCTACCTGAAGTTTGTGTTGATGATTTCGTTCAGAAGAACGATGAAAAGCTCCACGACCAAATCATTCAGCTCAGAGAACAAAACTTCATCGAAATAAACATCATAATAGTGATTACGTCACACTCTACTATGTTCATATGTGTACGAATACAATTGCCTATGGGGTAGCAATTGATACTTATATGTTAAGTTGATTGAAATTTTGTTGTGAATAGATTCTTCCAATAAAAAGAAGATCTATGCTTACTGGATAGATCTAATGTTTATTACATAACACTTCAACTATAACTCCATGAACAATTTGAAGAAAGATAAAAGGAATCTTATAAGGAAGATGTATTTGTGAAGACCCTAGACGAACTAACTTACTTACGCCTGTTACTCCTCATAGAGGAGCATCGACCTCTCGCCAGGATTCTCCGCCTGAAGCTCTTCTAGGGCTACCGCCGTTCCCAAGCCCGGGTAAAAGAGGACAATTAGATATGGGGGTTGGCAACCACATCCTGTAGAAAACAACCTTGCTAAAAAAACAATGCTAACTAGAAAATTTCTAACAGTTATTTAAATGGTCTATAATTGTCATTTAAACGACTCTCCTAAATGGTAATTGAAATGGTATTGTTTACAGTTTTCTTAACAGTTCACTAATATCCACATATTACAACTATTATCATTAAACGTACCTTTGTTTTGATCCAATAAATTCGGTGATAGATCATCAGTGACTGACTGAGATTTTGATTTACGCTCTCGTAAGATCATAATGGCTTCTTCTAATTCTTCAACAGTGAATCCAGTAATCTACATGAAAATTAATTCAAGAGAAACAAAATATTCATCGTTTCAGGTTGTGTGCGTATTGTCTCGCTATTGCCTTAATTCACAAGCATTCTAAGAAGAGATGAATAGTGGCTAGCAGTGAAATCCAGGACGCGCGTTTCGTCCTATTCGCGACTCAACAGCTGGATGTACTTGTATCTAAGAGTTGATGTCCATTATGGGACTCGAACTCAGTACCGTTCGCTCCAAACTCCATCGAGTTATCCAGTTAGCTACTGAGTCCTAATATCTATTTATTGTTCAATGTGGTGAATTTTAAATTCATTTAGTATTGTTTACTTGAATATTCCCATTGATGTTTACGACCGCAATTGATCGGTCTGTCTCTTATTAGGATATGTGTATCTTGTGAGAATTGCCTCGATATTGTCTTAGGTTACAAGCATTATAAGTAAAGATGAATAGTGGCTAGTAGTGAAATCCAAGGTGAACGTTTTGTTCTTTACTTATAATGCTTGTGAATTAAGACAATGTCGAGGCGATACTCACAGTATGCATATATTCCAATAAGAGACTGATCAATCACGGTCGTAAACATCCATGGGAAGATTTAAACAAACAATACAAAATGAATTTAAACTTCATCCTATTGCACAAGCTAGTGGTTATCAGAACTTTGTAGCTAAGTGGATAATGCAATGGCGTTTGAAGTGAATAGTACTGCGTTCGAGTCCCAGAGTGAACATAAACTCTGAAATGCAGGTACATCTAGCTGACGAGTCTCGAGTAAGACGAAACACTCATCAAATAGGATTCGATTGTTAGCCACCATCTATCTTTGCATTTAAATAACTGTTGAAAATTCTGCGTTATTTTTTTCTAGTTAGCCTCTTTTTTTAGCGAGTTAGTTCTCTACGGGATGGGGTCTCCAACCCCATACCCAATCCTTTTCCTTTTTTCAAGCTTGGGAAAGGCAGTAGCCCCCGGAAGGGCTCCAGGCGGAGTTCTGCACGATAACAGGAGATGAACTGCATAATAAATTCAAATATACATTCTAAACTTTGAATCAGTAAACCCTTTTAAATATTATCATTAAGAACTGAGGAAAAACGAACGTAATCATATTTATTCAACCGGATTTGTGGAGATTGTAGTAATTTTGATAGTTGAATTCATGAGTTCATCTAAGTTAGATAATCATTGAATTCCTTGAAAGTAATGAGTAATCATTTCGACCTACTATGATACTCATCATGATTCATGAATTCAACTATTAAATATTACTAAAATCATTACAAATTCTCATTCTAATAATAATCATATGTTCATTTGTGAATAATTTCAGAGATAGACTTCTTGGAGTTCTAGTAAGAAGTTGTGACCAATGAAGTTCAATCCATGCACAAGATGATAAATTGATTGAAATTAGACATTAACAACACCGTTAGTTGCTGATTCAAGGATCTAGTGGTTAAACATTTACACATGAGATCAAAGAATCTAGGTTCAGATCTAGAGTAAAGAATCATGGATATGTATTACTGAAGAATCTCATATTAGGATGAAACAGTTTTGTTAGCTTAAATCAATTCATAGATTAAATTATTTATAAAATTCATTTATATTCAAAATAACTATTTTTACTTGTGCAAACATTTGTGTTGTTGTTTTGTTTACTGTTAATTGTTCATTTGAATTGTTTTGTTTCATTGGAATACTTTCTAATTGATTTGATTGTTGTTTATTTAGTATAATTTGCTCTTCAATAGATTGTTTTCTTTGTTGTTGTTGTTGTTGTTGGGGACGTTGTTGTTGTTGTTGTTCAGTTTGATTTAATTGTTGTTGTAAATTATGTACCATCATTTCTAAATGATCAATTTGTCCACGTAATTTCTGTTCTTTCATTATCCAATTTTGTTCAGGTTTAATAGAAAATGCACTAAAATTGAATAAATAAAAGACAATTGTCAAATTGTATAACAAAAATAAAGACACTATTTCTACAATTAAAGAACATATGAAACTCAAAATAATCATCTTTTAACTAATATCAAAATTAGAAGGGACTCCGTAGACGCCCAACTTTGAAACCAACAGGCAGGATTCCGTTAGAATAGATCATGTACAGACCAAATCACAACTCTACGGATCATTGTGTAATAATCAATTAAATGGAATTCATCACTCTACATCAACTTCATTGACTACGAAAAAGCATTTGATAGCGTGGACAGAACAACACTATGGAAGCTTTTTCGACGCTACGCTGTGCCTCAGAAGATAGTCAATATCATACAGAATTCATATGATGGATTAAACTGATAAATCGTGCATGGAGGACAGGTCACAGACTCGTTCGAAGTAAAGACCAGTGTCAGGCAAGGTTGCTTACTCTCACCCTTTCTCTTTCTCCTGGTGATCGACTGGATCATGAAGATGTCAATATTTGAAGGGAAGCATGGGATACAGTGGACATCTAGGATGCGGTCGAACAATCTAGACTTCGCAGATGATCTAGCCCTCCTATCGCAAACGCAACAACAAATGCAGGAGAAGAAGACTAGTGTAGCAGCAGTCTCAGCAGCAGTAGGTCTCGATATACACAAATGGAAAAGCAAGATTCTCCGATACAACACAGTATGTGCCGATCAAATCACAATTGACGGAGAAGATTTGGAAGATGTAAAAATCTTTACATATCTGGGCAGTATCATTGATGAACAGGGTGGATCAGATGCAGATGTGAAGGCGTGGATCGGCAAAGCAAGAGCAGTATACCTACAATTGAAAAACATATGGAACTCAAAACAATTGGCAACCAACATCAAGGTCAGAATTTTCAATACAAATGTCAAGACAGTTCTACTGTATGGGGCGGAAACTTAGAGAACTACGAAAGCCACCATCCAGAAAATACAGGTGTTTATTAATAATTGTCTACACAAAATACTTCGGATCCGTTGGCCGGACACTATTAGCAACAACGTACTGTGGGAGAGAACAAACCAGATCCCAGGAGAGGAAGAAATCAGGCAAAATCGCTGGGAGTGGATAAAGCACACATTAAAGAAAGCACCCAACTGCGTCACAAGGCAAGCCCTCACATGGAATCCTTATGGCCAAAGGAAAAGATGAAGACCAACGAACATATTACTGCGAGAAATGGAGATAGACATAAAAATAATGAACAAAAGTTGGATGGAACTAGAAAAGAAAGCCCAGGACAGAGTGGGTTGGAGAATGCTGATCGTCTGCCTATGCTCCATTAGGAGTAACAGGCGTAAGTAAGTAAAGTAAGTAAAACTAGAATCTTCAATACGAACGTTAAGACAGTTAGTTCTAATGTATACAGTTGAAACGTGGAGAACTGTTATAACCATCATCAAAGAAGGTACAAGTATTTATAAATAAGTATCTATTCAAAATACTGAATGTTTGTTGATCGGATACCATTATCAAAAGTTAACTTCTGTGAGAAAGTATAAACTGTAGAGGAAATTAGGAAAAAACGTTGAAGGTGGATAGGACATACATTGAAGAAATCACCAAACTGCATCATGAGACATTCAACATCTTGGAATCCTGAAAGAAAACTGAAAAGAGGAAGGTCGAAGAACACACTACGCAGACATGAGAAAGAATAATAGTAAACTGAAAAGAACTGGAAAAGTTTATTTAGGACAGAGTTAGATGTGTAATGCTGGTGATTAACCTATACTCCTCGATGAGGGGTAAAAAGCGTAAGTTTAGTTAGTCACTGAAAGATATGTAAATCTTAAGATTGACATGTTTGTATATAATTAGAATGTTTAGGGGTAACATAAAACATCTTTCCACTATTTCCCTATTTCTTAATGTCGATTGTCACTTTTTCAAAACCTCTTTGAAACGAACTATTGTCCTAAGAAATGGAATCACTTCGTTATAGACGATTTGTATATTTATGTTTCCGTCACTTCTTTTAGTTAAACAAAACGATTTAAATGTTGATAATATTTATCACATATATCTTTAGTAGATGAAGTTAGTATTCATCAATGAACCATTGGTAAGAAATGAAGTCATTGATAGATATTTGATCTTACATATGGACCCCCCCTCAAAACTGGTTCTTAAAATAGAACCCAACACAATATCACTGAATTACCGAGTCAGTCATTACGACCTATACCTAAATTAATTAATAGTTGCTTTGATTGTCAGTAGGGCTACCAACCTCGTAACTTCCGAAGGAACTTGACTTATAACATGAGGTGTTATAACTTTTAAATGAGGACTTTCTAACTCCCAAGGAAGAGTTTAAATAGTTTGAATTACTTTATTATGATTAGCCTTTTTTTAGCGAATTAGTTTTCTACGGGATGAGGTCGCTAACCTTATGCCAAACCCTCCTCCTTTATCCTAGATTGGGACCAGCAGTAGCCTCGGAGGGTCTCTAAGCAGAGTTCATTACGACCTTCTTTTTGTTTCCCATTCGTCAACTTAATTAAGACACTTTAGTATTTAATATTGTAAAAGAAAGTGATCACTTCAGTCAGCTTAATAAATATTTAATAATTATCATTATATGATCACTAAAGATTAGCTTCAAGATGTATTTCCCGGAGTTCTAGTGAGAAACTATGATCTGTGAAGTTCAACCATGTCTGTTGCGAAGAAGTAACTCACTGAAGACAATAGTGGACGGTGACGTGACTTCGTGGATTGATTGAATTTAGACATTAACAACGTTAGATGTCGGTTAAATGCTCTAAACGTTATTTGTTCGTGCACGAAACTGATAGGTCCTGGATTTGAACCACATGTGTGAAATCATGGATGCGCACTAATAAGGAGTCCCATACTAGAACGAAATGGTCGTTCAATACTTCTAGGTTTTCTATAGTGATCTGTCTTGGATCGATTCATGAATTCAACAATCAAATTGAGTATTATGATGATGTATAAATCATGATAGAACATAGAAATGTTTAGAATTACATTGAATGTGCAAAACTAACAATTATAAATCGAACACACATACACACACAGAGTGAGAGAGAAAGAGAAAGACATTTGAAGTGCATTTGTGGTTTAGTTGATTGAATCATTGACAACATAAAAAGTTCTTTGACAACAATAAACTTAATAAAATATTTACATGTTCTCGGATCTATTCATAAAATAAAAAGTTTAAAAAAGAAATTCTTAGATATTCTCTAATGAATTCAATTGATATAGTCTATTATTCAGTTATATTTTGTTTTATATACAAAGAGGGTCTTTACAATTGATGAATCACTGGGGTGATGCATGATCAATGTCATGTATATCAGGTCCTTCTTCAGGTAGATCGAATCTTATTGACCAAATCATCTAGACTAGTGGCCACAATGTCTCTGATTGTGAAGCTGGGTGACACGGGATCCAAATCGTCAAAGAGTATCAATCCTCTCAAGATTACAGGTATACCTTGCTGACAAGTGTCAAGTAGCACGAAACCTAAGTCCATGGTTTCCTATGAACTACCTCCAACCACCATCTTATAATTTTAGTTTATTTATCTAACATCTGAGCATAGTTTACATGATGTCTAGTTAATTAAACGAGTGGTTATATTGTAACTTGGTCGATAAAATTCGATCACTATTAAGGATCAGATATTGATGACACTAGTGATTGGGAGAAAATTAAAAGTTGAATCGGGATCATGGATTCGCACTGATGAGGAATCCTATGATGGAACGAAATGACCATCTATTGATTACAGGTTTTCCATGATGATCTAGTTTAAATAGACTTATGATATCAACTATTAAAAATTACTAAAATCTCCACAAAACTCCCTTTTCTGAGGAAATTAAATTTGAGACAAAAACTAGAGATAGTTTGTTTCTGATATGACCGGATCTAAAGACTGAAGACAATGGTGGACGGTGGCAAAATTTCGTGGATTGGTTGAAATTAGACACTAACACCGTTGGATGCCAATCAGCTCAGTGGTCTGGAAGTTAAGCATTTGCGCATGAGACCGATAGATCCTGGGTTCGAATCCCGCTTGCAAGGTCGTGGATGCGCATTGCTTAGGAGTCTCACACTAGGACGAAATGGATGTCCAGTACTTTCAGGTTTTCTATGGTCGTCTAACCTTAATTCACTCATGAATTCCACTATCAAATTGCTATAATATCCATAAAGCGCTTTTCTGATTATTAAATAATTGACAAATGATACGGAAAAAAAGGAAAATAGTAGACATTCTGGTCGAAGATGATGAAAAATTCATATTCCACACTGATAAATCTTCAATCATGGATGTATTTATTCATTGTTTGGATTGTAATCTCTAATGGGGTCATGACTGCGCAGTACCAAACATTTCCATAGTAGGATGAAACACGTATCTATACCTTTTTTCTACTCTTAGTTCACTATTACCAACAGTATGACAAGTATTTCCATCTGCATTGTCTTACACCTAACTAGATCTTATAATCCTAAGGAAGTTATGAGTAACAGCTTTAAGTTAATTTGTGGTAACTTATGACTTTGAAAGACCATATCTCTGCTCTATAAATACCATCGCTGACATCGGAATCCAGGATGCAGATTTCATTCGATTTAGGACTTGTCAGTTCAGTATGGTTGAATGCCAATGTTTTCTTTTCACTCGAGAAAATCCGCTTAAACTGTATATATGCTAATAGGAATTGATTGATTCTGATTCTTAATATTAACAAAGGTGAAATGTAAACTTTCATTGATAATCTCATACTGTTGTTATGAACGAGAACAAAAGTGATGACAACCATATATATTGTGAATTTCCATCATTTGTCTTTTACATTCTGTATGATTCTTCTAATTCACAATTTCTTTCTAATTCTGTTTCTGTTTTGTTCAAGTCGACATTTAAAACCTTCTATTGCCAGATTCCCAATTTTCGATTGATGTTACATACTACTTATATCTGTTGACATAAAGAGTCTAACTAGTCGACTAACTCAGACTGATTTCCTCGTAATCTCATTATTATCCCTCAGCATAAAACTTGTAAAGTATGATAACACGATGTGTAATACATGTCACTGAAGTAAATAAGGCGATCGTTGAATAAAATGTGTTCATTTCACTTAGAGAATTCTTTTCAGCTTCATATATCCGACAATAACAAGGTATACATATATTTACAATATATACAGTAAATAGAATATGGCTAGCATTGAAGTCTAAGTCGCGTATTTTGCCATGTTTGGGACTCGTCCGTTGGATGTACATGAATGTCAGCGTCGATTTTCACTCTGGGGCACAAACCCATTCCAAATTGAATTATTATCATATGATACTTACAAGATACTACTAATTAAAGTTTGCAGAAGACATCAAGATTGACCATCATAGATTTGTTGGTTTCAAGTCAACTAAGGATCGGTGATGACCTTGTACAAAAGGGACAGTAAATTATAATTCTTCAGCTTGTAATTTCTTTTGAATGGGTTATGGAGTGTGGTATCTGATATCTGATATTGATACACACTCTTTATATTTATTTTATTTCTTTATTTAAACACATAAACATTCAAAAAAAGGCACCAAATATATATGCTTTACACTTTATCATTCGATTGACGTGAGGGCTGTAATACTTCCCGGGTGCACAAACCGAAGCAGATAGTTTTCTTAAGAGACCACACGTGGAGCCTTCGACATAAAGGTCTAATCCACAAGGCAGTGAAGCAAAGTTAGGAGGTGAAATCCCATGGTAGCCAGTGACCAACAATACGTTCGTACACCTTTTGTTTCCTTAAGATTCTGTAGCTCATGAAATGTGAGTTTTCTAATCTGGCTTTTTGTCCTCTCAATTTAGTAAATAACACCCCATGGCGAGAAGGCAGTGAGTAGACCTTCAAAGGTTACTTTTATTTAATTACAAAACTGACTACAACTGTAGCATCGTTACCTTTATTTAAGATATCATACAAATGAAGGTTGTTCTAACGAGCTGTGTCCAAAAATCTGATATTGACACACAGTATGCTACGCTCTGACTTCCTCCCCCCAGCTGACTATTTGAGTAAGAACACAAGAATGAGCTAGGAAGTATATTGATTTACTGAATAGAATGTAGAAATACTCCTGCATATATATATACCATTTTAGCCTTAAGAAATTGGCCTATTTCTTAGTCAATGAAATAGACTTGTCCTACAGGTCACTTCTAATTGGCTCACCATATCAAAAGATAATAATCATATGCTTACTAGTGACTAACTTCAAAATACATTTCCTAAAATTCTAATGAGAAGCCTAAATCAGTGGAGTTTAACCATGTCTTGAGTAAGAAAGATATACACTACATTCATTGGAAGCACGTCGCACAATATCAAGCATTGATAGATATCAGATATGTACAGCATTAGAAGCCAGCTTAATGGTTTGAAGTTTATGCACTCAGACTGAAGGTCCTGGATTCAATTTTCCATGGCGAGGTTGTAGATCTCCACTTACGGCGAACCTCACAGTCTTAATTAGATCGAATTGTGATTTAAGCTAGGAAGAAGCTTAGTCAAATAAAGTTTAACTGAGACTGTCAACCGATCAATGTTAAACTACCACCACTAAATTGATCGGTTCATGATTTCAATGCAACTTCAACAATCTTCACAATCATATACTGATAAATGAAATTTACTTTGCTATAAGTTTTTCATTTGATTCTTTAAGTGCTTGATTTTCACGTTTTGCATCATCAAATGCATACTGAAGCTACAAATGAGAAAAAGAAACAAATGAATATTTGAAAAAGTTTTTGTGGATGTCATAGTAATTTCAATAGTTGATACCATGAGTCAATTGAAGCTGAACCACAATGGAAAACCTAAAGGCACTGGACGGCCGTTTCGTCCTATTGTAAGACTCCTCAGCGGTGCACATCCACGATCCCACATCGTGAGATTCGAACCTAGGGCCTACCGATCTCTGTGCTGGTCAGCATCAAACGGTGTTAATATGTGATTTTAACTAATCCATTAAATTGAGTTACATATCCACCATGGTGGTCTAGCTTCAATTGACTCATGATCTCAACTATTGAGATGAATAATTATCAAGATTTTTTTTAGATGAACATTTAAAAAGAACAATCAAATGGTATAGTTGCCAAGGTGATTATATAATTAATAAAAGTTTGTTAATTATGCTAAAATCTTACTAGCAATGGTGACCAATAAAGAATGGTTCTTTGATTTAGCTTTTCTTATCACCCTTACTTTCTTTTTCTAATTGATTGCCATCACTTTATGCTCGCTTAATTTATTGTGCTTCAGTCAATGCAGGTTTAAAATCTATTTACTTGTTGTGTTTCTATCAGTCAAAATTGTACACCAATGGTTGTAAATATGATGATACTTAGACATCATTGGCCACGTTACACATCTGACATTTCAGTGACTCAATGTACTTGTTTTCCATTCCTGTTGTGATTCACATTCGATTACGCCAGTAGATGATGTACGCAAGTCTACAAATCTACAAAAGATATTCATTTCTTCCATTTCTTAATCTAATTGATTATAATCAATGAATACTTAATGTATTCTTAGTTAGGTTTAGGTATAAGAATTAGTATTATTACTATCATTACATCAATGTACCTAGTTACATCAAACTAGATTCAAATAGAAAATCACTGAATGAAATGTTTGTCGTCCTAGTATGACAATTGATTGGTGAGACCTTTGAACAATGCTACAGTGACCCTGAGAGTATCCACCTAGTAACCAGTACCAAATGAAGGTTGTAAACCAGTGTGATGAATTAGAATTATGATTTACAGTTGATGATTAAGGTAGGAAATTAGATTGAGGGTTTTTCATCATGAACTGACATCAGTTATAATGCCAAAACCCTATTCAGTCAAATGAATGAGTGAATTTCGCACCAAAATCTAACACCTGTTGTCTTAAATCTGATTGGTTTAGTCCATTAATTATAATCTCTCTCAAAATCACATCTCAAAATCTGATTGGTTGTTCAACATCACTTATATATATCTTCATTCTGATTGGTCAATTAAAATTAAAGCGCAATATTCAAATTTAGAAAGAGATAAATAAATATTTACTTCTAAAATTTTCAATTGTTGTTTTGATGCTAAATTATTATCAGATTGTAAATGAAATAATTTTTGTTCTAATTGACTTGATTCACGTGTTAAACGTTCAATTTCATTAATTAATTGATGATTAGTTGATTTTAATATATTTTGATTGGATTCAGATTCTTTAATACGTGATTCTAAATTATTAATAATTAATTGTTTTTCACGTAATTCTCTTTGTGTACGAATTAAATCAAGATTTTCTTGTAAAGCAATTCTAAAGTTTAAATTAAAGATTAAAGGGGAAAAAAATCAACATGCAGGATTAGATTTGATTGAAGTAGTTGGATAGATATTAGTATAATCGAACTCATAGTTAGTTCATCTATGTTGAAGAAAACCATTAAGAGCCAGGAGATACTGGTTTGTGTTTAGCATTCCTTAATATTTCATACTCAAGATCGTAGAAGGGATAGAATTCAAGATTTTCAGATCATTGGGACATCCAGCTGACGAGTTCTAAGTAGGACGAAAGGCATGTCCTGAATTCCACTGCTGGCCACAATCTATCTCTACTTATAATACTTATGACTGAAGGCAATGTCGAGGCAGTCAGCACAGGGTTCACATATGGTAATAAGAGACTGATCAATTGCAGTCCCAAAACAATAATGGGAAAATACAAGTAATATTTATGTATTAAGCGTCACATAGTTCACGATTGAATGTAATTACAACCCAGTTTTATTAGCTTTAAGATACTGTCTATCGTGATTTGGTTAAAGTGTATAAGTCCTATTTCAACAGTTTGTAATGGTGGAGTAGATTTGTAGCTCAGGTGAATGGTTTTAATGGAGTTTTGTTCTTTAAGCTGAATGGTTTAGTCGTGGATCTTTGTATCGTTCCTCTAAACGACATCATCAGCACAACCTTTAGGTAGAAGTGAAGTGTGCAAATTCCTCCACATATGACTCACAGTTTGTTCTGTAGATCTTGATGTTTATTGGTTCTATATCAATGCAATCCAGACAGGATGTTCACAAATCAATCAAGACTGAATAAGTCTCAGTCAGAGAGTATTACCATCAAGATAATTAGAATCATTTCAAAATTAATTTATCACTATGGGGTTGTAGAAATTATTAAGTTTTTGATTGAGATCATGAACCAATTGATGTCAGACCACCACTGAAAGCCTGGAAGCAGTGGACGGTCAATTCGTTTTGTTGTGGGACTCCTCAGCAGTGTGTATCCACGATCACGATCGCTGGATTCAAACCCAGGGCTTGCGATCTCGCGCACGAACCAGATACGAGCTTCATGAAGGAATTCTTGGAGTTCTAGTAAGAAGCAGGTATCTATCTCAGCACAATGGAAGATGGTCGCTTAATTTCCTGGATTGATTGAAGTTAAACATTAACACCGTTGGATACCGGCTCAGTAGCCTAAAAGTTTTGTGTTCGTCCGCGAGACTGAATGCCTTGATCCCGAATCTCGTAAGGTGAGATCATGGATGCATACCTTTTAGGAGTCCCAGTCGTTTCATGATCTTAATCAAAAACAAAAATTAAATGACAAACATTCTTTTTTGTCTTCTTAGAAGAACGAAATGGGTACTTCTTTCCTTTATAAAATCACCTTTGTTTTGATGTGACTTGTTCACCAAGTATAAATAAATCGTTTGTATGAATTTTCTCTTTCATTTGTAATTCTTGTTTGAATTGATTAATTAATTCATCACGTTCTTTTAATTGTTCAGATAATTTTTGTATAGTTTTTTCACTAAATTATAAAAACAAAAAGAAAGATTTATAGAGATCATTAGATTTTTATTATTTGTATTATGATGTGTACTATTGATGTCGATAGATATATAAGTAGTATGTGTGTCATCAATCGAAAATGAAATGTCTGAAGGCAGAATGTTAAGAAGATTGAAGGAAAAACAATGACAATAGAGAATGATTAGTGTGGAAACTAAGGGGTAATGAAATCTGAGACGATTGGACCCATCAGCTGAATGTGCTTGCATCCCAGAGTCAATGCTCACTATGGGACTCAAACCTAGTATCTTTGCTGCCAAGCTACCCGTTCTCTAGCTTGTCCAATGGAATTAATTTTATGATTGAAATTCATTCCTTAACACTAACAATAACATTAGTTGAAGGTTTTTGTATGGGTAGTCATATTGTGGTATGTGCTACTTATGTCGACAGATATGTTTATCATCAGTACAAAGTGATATGCTTGGTACTTACTTACTTACGCCTGTTACTCCTCGTGAAGGAGCATAGGCCGCTCACCAGCATTCTCCATCCAACCCTGTCCTGGGCAATCCTTTCTAGCTCCGTCCAGTTGTAATTCATCGTTTTCATATCTGCTTCTATTATCCGACGCAATGTGTTCTTTGGCCTTCCTCTTTTTCGCTTCCCTTCAGGATTCCAAGTTAGGGCTTGCCTCGTGATGCAGTTTGACGATTTGCGTAATGTATGTCCTATCCATTTCCATCGTCTTTTCCTAATTTCCTCTTCAGCTGGAAGTTGGTTTGTTCTCTCCCACAGAAGGCTATTGCTGATGGTATCCTGCCAATGGATGTTGAGTATCTTGCGTAGACAGCTATTTATAAATACTTGTACCTTCTTGATGGTGGTTGTTGTATTTCTCCAAGTTTCAGCTCCATACAGTAGAACTGCCTTGACGTTGGTATTGAAGATTTTCACTTTGATATTGGTTGAAAGTTGTTTTGAGTTCCATATGTTTTTTAACTGTAGGAATGCTGTCCTTGCTTTGCCAATCCTTGCCTTTACGTCTGCATCTGAACCTCCTTGTTCATCGATGATGCTTCCTAGGTATGTGAAGGACTCTACATTTTCCAGAGTTTCGCCATCAAGAGTGATTGGATTGTTGTTTTCCGCTTTGAATTTGAGGACTTTGGTTTTCCCTCTGTGTATGCTGAGGCCTACTGATGCAGAGACTGCTGCTACACCGGCTGTCTTTATCTGCATTTGTTCATGTGTACGTGGTAGGAGGGCTAGGTCATCTGTGTAGTTCAAATCGTCTAATTGATTTCGAGCTGTCTATTGAATTCCGTCTTTTCCTTCAGATGTCGAGGTCTTCATAATCCAGCCGAACCGGTTAAAGTTCCCAACATTCACTGTTCGTCCTCATACGTTTTTTAATTAACACCCCATTTGTGAGAAGTCAGTGAGTAGAACTTTTCAGGTAGTGGCTGTTTGGACTTAACCATGTGAGAGCATTTGGAAAGGGAGAGCAGACTGTCTCCACTCTCAGCCGTACCAAAGCATTTGGGTTTGGTGAAACACATATACAGTCCTTCTTAGTTTTTAATCAACTTTAATGTAAACTAATTACATTTAAAATTCCTAAGAATTTCTAACAACTGCATTACTTATTCGATGGTCCCAGGATTGCTCGTATGCCCTGAAACCACCGAATAGAAAACGGGTACTAGTTAGGGATGGCAAATCAGTTGATGAAGTAATGGAACTTCATCGGTTGAGATGGCTGGGATATGTGTTACGTATGCCCGACCACCGACTACACCGACGTGTGATATTTTATGGTGTAGGAGAAGGTTGGAAGAAAGCTAGGGGCGGCCAGATCAAAACATGACACAAATCGATTAAGTCACTGGCAACTGGACTGAGCCATGTTGGTAGGTGTAGACTACCTGGTTGGAATTCGCGAGACGATAGCAACCGATGATTAGAAACATTGAATGACATGGTTCAAAATCGTTTGCAATAGCGCAGGTGCATCCACTCTTTGTGTTCTCCCAAATTCTAATCCTCTGAATTCTTCTCTAGCCAGAAAATTTCCAGAAACATGGCTTTTGATTCCATTTGATGTCAGTAAATGAATTGACATAGATCTGATCAAGGACGACTATCTTCTGAATCACTAGACTTAATCAACTGTGATTTTATTTGTTATTGTAATTTAAGATGATCACAAAGACGCAGAAACTCGATCATGTGCGAAAGGTGAAATCATTAAACTTATGAGCGTGTTGACTTCTGAGGTTCATCAATGATATTTCGAAATAATGAACAAGAAATTAAGACAAATGTACTCCTATAAATAAAAAATATTCTAATGGAGTTTTTTCTCTAAACTGAATGGTTTGGTCGTGGGGCTTTCATCGTTTTTCTGAATGAATTCTACTTAAAGTTTACGCTGATGATGTCGTTCAGAAGAACGATGCAAAGATCCACGACCAAACTATCCAGTTCAGAGAACAAAACTAAATTAAAATCATCCACCTGAGCTACAAATCTTCTACACCATCTCAAAATCATATGAGCGTAATACGCTTCTCGTTGTTCAAAAGAATATTTTAAAAAATGCATATGAGAATGACCGGGAACACATTGATATACATGAATCAGGAATATGTAACTTATTCATATTGACTTGACAGACTTAATAATAAATGATAAAAGAACTAGTCTGAAATATTCAGAAAGGGATTTTGTGAAGAGTTTAATAATTTAATAATAGAATCCATGAGTCAATTAAAACTAGACCATCATTAAAAATCGTTGGGCCCTACGTTCGAATCTCGCGGGGCGGGATCGTCGATGAATACTGCGGAATAGTCCTATACTAGAACGTAACGGTTGTTTAGTGCTTCCAGGTTTTCCAAATGGTGATCTAACTTTAATTGACTCATGAATTCAACTAGTGTTTATATATAATCTATAACTTACAATGCAGAATTTTGAAAACGTAATGTTTGTATAACATTAGAATTATTCATAGATTTTTCACCAACTAACGAATTACGACTTGTTGTTTGAATAGTTGCAGAACTTGCTTTTCTAGCTGAAAGAGGCTAATAAACAACAACAACAAAGAAACGGTTTGATCAAGTCGTTTATCATAAACAATGGTTGATATGACATATAAGTTATTTACAATGACAATAATTCATTCACACTTTGTTCTACAGTTGTCTACGAAAAATACTTCTGATCCGTTGATCGGACACTATTAGCAATAACCTACTATGGGAAAGAACAAACCGAATTCCAGTGGAGGAAGAAATCAGGAAGAATCGTTGGAAGTGGATACGACAAACGTTGAGAAAAGCACCAAAGTGCATCATTACCGCAAGCCCTCACTTGAAATCCTCAAGGTCAGATGAGAAGTAAAAGACCAAAGAACACATTACGCCGGGAAGTGGAGATGGACATGAGAAAGATGAACAACAATTTTATAGAACTAGAAAGGAAGGCCCATGATAGAGTGGGTTGGAGAACGCTGGTTGGCCGCCTATGCTCCATCGGTAATAAAAGTCTTAAGTAAGTAACTGATACTGTTACTATGCCTACTTTGATGGGCGCTACTTAGACAGATAGATATAAGTAGTATGTAGCGAGAATTGGAAGTGGAATGCTTAGCCGGTAAACGACTGAAATATAGAGAAAAGGAAGAAAAACAAGAAGAGACCGAAAAAAAAACAGAACTGAAAGCCAGTCACTAGTGAGTATATGCTGATTAGTATCAGAATGGGTTTTTGTGGATATTATAGTAATTTCAATAGTTCAGATCATGAATCAATTGAAGATAGACTACCACGGAGAACCTGCATGCACTGTACGGCCGTTTCGCCCTATTGTGAGACTCCTCAACAGTGCGCATCCACGATCCCGTCTTGAGAGATTCGAACCCAGGACCTATCGGTCTAAGACATTAACACTGATGGATGCCGGCTCAGTGGTCAAGAGGTTAAGAATTCGCACGCGAGACCACTATTGAAATTACTACTCATGTATTTGTCTTAATAATTCCATCTCGTAACCCTGATGTAGTTTAAGACAACCTAAATCATGTACTCAGATCCCATGCTCTACATTGCTTTTAACTGATTGATTGATTGTTTTAGTTGGACAGTTTGTGAGTGCTAGTTCAAGTTAATTGAAAACAATGAAAAAAACTGGTGAAGTTCAATCACGTTGTAAATGATGTTGCCACTAGCCGATGAGAATAGTTGGTTTTGAACTAGTAATGAAAATAAACTGCAGTTAAAATATATGTACAAATGGATTTAAATTGAGCAGTCTGACGATAACGTTTTTATCTTGTAACCTAAACATCTTATGTCCAGTTCTCTGGTCAGAATATCGGGAAGCCCATGCTAAGGAATTTCAAACTAAACTAAAACAGCTGTAAAATACATCTTAGTTTTTCATTGATTCTCTGGCTATTTTCATTCTCCGATAAAGTATCTTCAAAAATGAATCCTGAGGAATTTCAGGAACTTCTAGCTTGTATTATATGATAACAAGTAACTCGGGAAAACCAAAGGAGTAGAGCAGATAAAAACCTTTTAACTTTAATTTTTGTGTTTACGTAGACTAAAAGTATGTCCTGATTTAAAAGTATGATCTATATGCAAAGATGGATAGTGGCCAGCAGTGAAAGACAGGACGCTTGTTCCGTCGTATTTGGGACTGATCAATTTGCAGTCCAAAATAACAATGGGAAGATACAAGTAATCAACATCAGTTGAATTTAAACTCCATCCCATTGCACAAGTAAGTGGCTATTGTGATTCAGTAGCCAAGTGGATGACGCGGTGGCGTTTGAAGTAAATGGTACTGGGTTCGAGTCACGGAGTGAACGTCAACTCTGAGATTCAGGTACATCCAGTTGACCAGTCCCAAATACGACGAAATGCGCGTACTGGATTCCACTACTAGCCAAGATCCATTTTTACTTATTATGCTTGTGATTTATGAGGGCGTGTCTTTATCATTGTAAAGTAAACGGAAGCTAACTGTTACCAATTCAGTTATTGATAAATACTCACTGCGCTACCAATTCTTTGTTTCTGAACGTTTAACTGATTTTGTACTAATGCTAACTGTAGAGAAAAAAAGGAGAAACTTTAGGTTAAAATTATGAAATGATGGATCAAAATGACATTCTTCACTAAAATAAATTTATTAAATATTCAGTAGAGATAGATAGTGGCAAGCGATAGAAACCATGAAATATATTTCGTTCTATTTAAGACATATCAGCTACATATACCTGCATAGCAAAGTTGATGTTCACCAGGAGATTTGAACCCGATACCGCTAACTTCAAATATGAGTGCGATATAAGGGTAATACGTACAGGATTTGTATATGCCAAGAGAGACTGATCAACTGCAGTGCTAAACATCGATAAAAGGATCCAAATAATCAAATTGTATGAATTTATTAAATGTGATAAACCATGGTGGAGAAGATTTGTAGCTCAGGTGGATGATTTCGATGGATAAATTCGAATACTTTACTTCTACCTGAAGTTTGAACTGATTATGTCGTTCAGAAAAATGATGAAAGCTTCATGAACAAATCATCCAGCTCAGAGAGCAAAACTCTCAAAAATGATAAACTATCAGTTACAATGGGACAAATTGAATACGATTGGAATAATAGTCTCAATATAGTAAGACATGCATATTAAGCCAAACTATGAGACTCTTGTGAGGCATGTTGGTAGCATCAATAAAAATGTATTGCATCATTTAGATATATTAAAACTTGATTAATAGAAGTTGCTTAGCACCACAATGTTACCATTTCGATCTTAAAGTAGACCAGTCGCAGTCCAAAAAGCTTATAGGTAATTTATCTGACTGTAATAGTGAATAACTTAAGTATGAATCCTAAATAGAGTATTTATCACTTTAAAATATTTAGATAATCCATTGTTGATGATTTTTAAACTAATACGAAAATTAGATTCAAGCATTCATAAACCTACAATTATTTGCATGTTTTTCAGTGTTCACTAAATGCGACTTTCCAAACACCATGGATCGTTTTTCCTATATTTAGTATGGAATAATGCTATATTAAAGCATAATTTTTATCATAACTGTCTGATATTAACATGTTCAGTGGAGTGCAGCATAATATAACAGATATAAAGGAAAGATATAGTAGACGTTTGAATTTGAAATAAGACCTTCAATGAGAATCGCACTCTGATATACACCTTTCACTCACTAGATGAATGAGGAACTGACCAATACTTTGTGATAATTCCCTTCAACTCCATTAACATTGGAGATAAAATCAGTTACTGTCTCAAAGTCGATCTATTTTTATTTGAAAAGGATTGACAAACAACTTATTAATATTCTGTTATATCCTAATGAAGATTAAACTATGAGTAACTTCAGAGAACTATTAGTAGACTACTATTACCTATATAGTCCTACTGTATAACTATTCAGTAATTAGATTGTGTATAACAATATTTCTCTTAGTATAAGCTTTATTTTGATCTATAAGCTATTATTACATGATTTATCGTTCTTGAGTTACGCCCAGTCTGTCAATTACAGTCTCCCACACTCACAGCCACATTTGGGCTTGGTCTTGTATAGATGTTATTCCCTATTTTATGGTGTGATGTGGTCTTTTTGGCTGGTAAATAAACTAAGTATGTTTGAAATATATAATTCACACAAAGGAAGCTATTATTGGCGTTCTGGACTCAACTGGAAGGTTTGGGAGGACTAAGGAACCAGTAAGGACTCTACACTGCTCATGCCGGTTGAACTTCATTAGTTTAGCACAATGCTAAGATTGTATAAGTCATATTTTGAATAACAGATAAATTACGTGACAAAAGTTCGGACTTAAAATCATAACAGATTCATTGTAATTGTTAAACATACAATAGTATAACGTACTTTTCGTGTCAATGTGGCATTTTTTCTTTCTAGCACTTCAATTTGTTCTTGATAATCTTCTTTCCATACAGTTCCAGGATCAGAATCTTTTTTATCATTAGCTAAACGTAGAATTTTAGTTGCCATTCTGTCAACAACAACAACAAAAAGAATAAACAAGTAAAACAGAAAATAGATTGATTTTCATTTAATGGTAATTTTATTTACTTTTTGATACGATCCTCTTGTTTACATGCATGTTTTTTTAATGTTAAATAATCATCATACAATCGTAAGTATTGATCTTCTAATTTTTCTTTGGACCATGAACTAATAGAATTTTTATTTTCCATTTTGATAATTGTTCGTTGGCTTTTAGTTTTGATTATAATTCATCAATTTATCAGACCTATGAGGAAGTATTAAAGAAATAGAATAGACATATGAATTTATTATGATGTATTTAGTAGTTCGTTATAAGTAAATTTAATATTCAGGAAATAGCCATCAACGATTTTAAGATAGGCCCTTGATTGGATCCCTGATAAAATTGTAAAACACGGTTAAAGAGTAGTCACATATAGATTTAAAACAGTTACCCAATGCTTCATAATGTTTACTAGTTGCCTGGCTAAGGTTAAATAAAGTAAATAAAAGACAACTCAAAGAAAATGGGCAAATGATGCATTAAATGTATGATCTTCATGTTTTATCAGGCCACTGTGTAATTTTATATTGAAAAATAAATTATTTTTTTGCCTAGGTTCTCGTTTACTACAACACCATATTTTGAGTTAGATGCCCATATCTATCTTCAAGCTTACTCCTATACCAGCAAACATCACTGGTCTAGGTATGTCGTAGTTAGGTGCATTTAACAAAGGTTCAGATTACACCAACCGATGAATATTGATAGTTTGATCAGTCTATTTGAAATTTTTGCCTGCAATCCTATATTTAGTATCTTCACTACTAACTCAACAGTTCCAGTAATGTTTCAAAGACACTTATGGCCAAACGTTAAAGTCTACTCATATTTGCCAGTTGTATGTCCTTATTTTATAGACGTAGAATTGCAAAGGGAGAAATGATACTCGGCATACATGTTGAGATATTTGTTTGGTCCGATACTATATAACAGCTAGACACAAACAGGCTCCATTTATGACAAATGTTAAGATGAGAATTACCACTGAAACCTGCATTACGTATTTGAGACTAGTTGTCAAAATTCAACATTCTCGATGCTTACTAGAGCACGTTTTAAACTGAGTGAATAGGTGTTAGCTAAAATATACACAACCTAAGAATTAAAAAAATACTAAAGTGAAAAACAGCTTCGGGAAGTTTCTAAAGCCAAACGTATTTATGCATTTTTATTCACATGGGACTTAAATAACATTGATCTTCACAGACTCACACTTATTTTCTCAGCATTTTTGGACGTGATTTATGCTTTTTGCGCTATATTATCTAATATATATGCCACTTTGAAATTATTTTAATGCAATCAGTGTTTTCAGAATTACTCAGTTTTGTTAGTTGTGATTGGTTTCAAGTAATTAATTGATTAATTTTGGAAGCTACTAATTTGATCATGCGGCTGATCATGTGGATCTTCAGGCTGACTTAGACGATTTAGTTAGATGGGCTCGAGAGTGGGGCTTGGAAATCAATGCTAGCAAGAGTGTACTAATGCACATCGGTCACGGTAATAGTTACCGTTACACTATTGAGGGTAAACCTCTTCCATGCGTTCAATAGCATAAAGACTTAGGAGTAATATTAAGTCATGATTTAAAAACAACTAAGCATTGCAAAGCAGCCGCTGTCAAAGGTTTTCGTGCGTTATGGTCACTTTGCCGAGAGTTCAAATCTTTTGACGAGGAAACGTTTCGAATTTTATATCCCATATATGTTAGACCACATTTAGAGTACTGTATCCAAGCAGCTAGCCCGTGTCTGGTAAAGGATACTAACTCCCTTGAGCGTGTCCAGCGTGTGGGAACGAAATTAGTGAAGGGTCTTTCTAGACTCCCTTACGATGAGCGTTTAAAACGCCTAAATCTTTTCCCCTTGTCGTATCGTAGGACACGAGGTGACCTTATACTGGCATTTCGTATCTTTAATTACGATTTGGGTGTTAATATGTCTTATCTTTTTGCTCACTCCAGCACTATTAATCTCCGAGGTCATAGCAAGAAGGTTCATAAACCACGATCTAATAAACTTAAAGTGGGATCCCGTTTTTCTCGACGAGTAGTCAATGATTGGAACGCCTTACCCGAACAAGTGGTATCAGCCCCATCAGTGAATACTTTCAAGGAAAAGCTGGACCTTCACTGGAAAGCAATGTGTCAGGATTAACACAGGTTCATCAACCTACTATCCTTATTACTGAAGATTGAAGACTGAAGAGTGACATAAGGTGCTCTTGAAGCGGTATTCTCTACTAGTTAACTCGGTTTTAAATACAGAAGTTTGTGTGTATTTTGGTTATATCGATCCTTTTTCTAAATAAATGGTCACATATGGTCAGAGCAGAACAGTGCTGAACGTAACGTATTCAGTGTAGGAATTTTGAGTAAAGAGCAAAACGTTGGTCATCTTGAGGACAAACATATTTTTGTCTTTAAAGGGAAACTTTATTGATTTTACATCCAACTTCCCATCAGTCGAGAACTTCGTATAGAAAAGTAAGTAACTTCGTTAAGACTTAGAGGTGATGAGACACTAGTTACCTAACCAGGTGCAGCAACATTGTTAAAACAGGTGTAGCTTAAAAAGCAGTCTGAAAATTTCCTCTTCGCATGAATCTTGAATTTAGAATATTGTTGACAAAAACATATTTGCAAAACAGATATCTGGTTTAGCAACTCATTTTTTCGCGAGAATATTCACAAACGACTTAGTAAAGAAGAGCTTGACGTCTAATTAGACCGTATACAGTTAAGCATATGCTTTGGTTCGTCTAAAAAATACGTATACATGCTATCATGACTTAACACTTCAAACTTTGTAAAACTTAAATTATAGTAATATTATATATTAAATGATATGCAAGAAAATCGGCTTTAGATTTTGCATTCAAGTACTGAATCTTTATTTCAGACAGCTGGGTCATAAGATTCCGAAGATTTAGACGGAAAAATGTCAAAAAAGATGATGGACTGAGAGTAAATATTTCCATCAATCAAGAAATGTTCATTAGGATAACGATAATCAGACGAAATAGTCTAAATGACTCCAAACCAAAAGTTACACTGGAAACAGTTCCACATGATCAACACATTATAACAAAATCTATGGAGGCAAGGTATAACATTTATTATAAAGATATGTTAACTATATAAATCAATTGCACGAAAACAAAATGTAAATTGATTCAAACCAGCACGTTTAGCTGGCCCATCGATCAAACCCTGCATTTTATCTGAATGGTGGTCTATCGCATTGAAAACTGTTTGAGGAAAGGGATAACAACCTGAACCATTAAAAGTGGATGTAGATGGAGTCAAAGAAACTGATTTTAAGTTATGTGTCTTCATCAGTAATATATTACCGACAACCTATCCTTAGGACACAGATAATGAGAGTAAGTTAGCATCAAGTTCTATGTTCAGTCCTTGAAGAGGTAACTAATATCAGCCTTCGAGACTCCGGTTAAGTCGCATCAATCACATAAAATAAGACTGCTAGATGACTTTGCTTGCTCGTATATCCTGGGAATAACGAGTAAGTAATGCAATTGTTAGGGAACGGATACTAGATAATAATGGCAAATCAATTGATGAAGTAGTGAAACTTCATCAGTTGAGATGGCTGGGACATATGTGGTACGTATGCTCGACTACCGACTGCCAAAGCGTGTGATGTTTTCTGGTGTGTGAGTAGGCTGGAAGAAAGCTAGGGACGGCCAGACCAAAACATGGCACAAGTCCATGAAGTCACTGACAAGTGGATTGAGTCATGTTGGTAGGTGCGGACTACCTGGTTGGGGACCGCAAAATGATAGCAGCCGATAGTTAGAGACCCTGAATGACATGGCTCAAAATCGTTTGCAATAGCGCAGGTGCATCCACTCTTTGTGTTCTTCCAAATTCTAATCTTCTGAATTCATATCCCTCAACAATTTGTATTGCTTTGTGAGGTTAGTGAAATGTCACTGGGCCCCAGCTAAATCATCCCTGAGTTGGGCCACTGAATGTCAAGTTGTTCACCAGTCAACTTTAATGCCGAGAGCAACTAGTGCACGTCAAATGATTGCACGTTATGGACTTATACATGCCGCGGTGGTATCAAGTTGTTTTTTGTGCCTACTCTTAATAATCTAGTATTATAATGTCTTTTGTGCTGTACGGCCATCAAACTAGTCATAGTATTTGGATACAACGGAAGGGTGATCTACGTTAGATACTAACTGCGAAATGTGACTTCAACGTTTCCTGGTTTTTTCTATCATTCCCGACTAAATTCAGGAAGCTCTTGATCAATCGAAAGATATAACATTACGTTAGTGATCCACAGGGATGTTGATTTCACTCCGTTGTAAATGCTTTGAGTAAACCTAAATGAGTTTAGAGAGTGTTTATAGCATATGTTTTTGGTATTAAGTAAGCATTTGTTTTCTGATAAACGTACTTTATACCTTTGTTGTTTTTACGAATTCCTCGTGAAGTATTGCAAATAATATTGATTTTGTAGCACATACATGAGAACAATTGAAAGTAGGAATACCCTCAGGGAATATAAGAAGAAATATTGTTTTTTTCGCTCGAAGTAAAGGTGAATGGAACCGCTAAAATCTGAGTAAAAGCTTCTTGTTGAGAACTATTTTAGTTGCTGCTTTGTATCGTAGCATCCGAAAGTAGTCTACTTTGCGATTTCCATGGTTGAATGTTAGACACCTGAACCGTCATCCTCAGTAAATTTCACCACATTGGGATACATCAAATTGGAATTTTTAGATCAACTAACCGAAAGGTAATTGTATTAAAGTATTTCGACATTGTAGAACGTTTCATTTAACTGTAAAAACTAGGGACAGCCCACTGAGTAATGTTGATGGTTGAAGTAATGCAAGATTACTACTGGAATAAAGAGCTCCTAAGTTTCAAACTTATAGGATTGATGGAAAAACTTCATGAGTTCATGATAAATCCGCCACTCGGCTTTGTCGTGTTTAATTATCTTCACTATCTAGGTCTACTGTGCACTCCCCTGTAGAGTTTAAATTGTTTAATGAATCCACCATATGCGCCACTAGACGTTACCTTGATCAACTACAAACCTTTAGTTATAGGTTCATCCTATACTTTCGCGATTAGAAGTCTCCTACCATAACGGTGGTTCCGTAATGACAGTGAAGGAACACTAAAAAACAATAAGAACGCAACTCTACACATAAACCTGAAAGTTTCGCGTACGGGCATTAAAATACAGACTAGAATAACAAGAAACAAGTTTAGAGCAGGAAAGTTATCAAAAATCCTTGTATATCACTTTCATCTTTATGTTCAGTACGTTATTTTATTAAACGTCCTTATATGTCATAGCTGAGATAGCGTACTATACGGTAGATAATGGGATGAATCGATATAAGATTATACAGATTG